GTTGGCAAGCTATTCACACATTGAATAATTTTGAATGGCCATCCAAAACTGATTGGCTTTTGCAATGCCCGGTAATCCCCAACCAAATGTGCGTGAGGATCGGGCAATAATTACGACCTGCTGACAATTTTGCATTTTTTTTGGTCCATTTCAATCCCTAAATAAATGGCGATCATCTCCAAAAAGAGTAGGCTTCTATTCTGACCCTCATCTGATCCCCATGCAAAATTTCGTTACGATCGGGCCATCAATGCGATCTGTATATGATATCCTGATATCCTAACTACTTAGTTTTGTTAGCTGTAGAAATATTACCAAATGTTTAATTCAAAATGAAAATATGCCAAAAATGAGACAAAATTGAAAAAAATATGAGAAAATTTTACAAAATCAATATTTTCATCTTTAGAGATATATTTTTGTGCGATTTTTTAGGCGTTTTTTCTTTTCTGCCAAGAGGCCATTCTGAATTAATGAGAACTGTCGAAATCAGTTCAGCCGTTCTCGACATATAAGAAATCTTTCAAGCATATCTTCTTTGATAGACAAATATGTCGCATATATTTTGCTATATATCCGATTTGTTGGATGTTAACATCAATGTAAAGATCAGAAGTAACCCTAACATGGCTTCGTGATTTCGCCGGGATTTAAAATATTCGCGGTTTAATGAAAAATTTCCAATTTTTTCAATACAAAAGATATGGTCTATTTTACCCGCTAAATATAATCCGATGACCACCCAAATTGGTAGGCTTCTTCCCCGCCCTAAACTCTAGCTACATGCGAAATTCCGCGTCGATTGGTCTATAATTGCGACCTGTATAGCTACTGCAAAATCCGACATTTTTTCAGTATTTGGTCCATTTCAACCCCTAAATATTATCCGATCATCTCCAAAAGAAATAGGCTTCTATTCTGACATTAACCCCACCTACAATTTAAATTTCGTGAAGACCGGCCGTAATTGCGACCTGTAGAGTGATTACAAATTAACATGGACAGACGGACGGACGGACATACATAGCTAGATCGACTCAGCTCGGCGAGCTAGGAAGATCCATATATACTTTCCTATATGGGAAACCAATATTTCGAGGTGTTACATAAATTCTGGCCCAATCAAACTTATAATACCCCCAACACATAGTGTTGTAGGGTATAAAAAGTAAGGTAAATCAAGGTACCTTTTTAACGTGAAGTTGTGAGGACAGTTTCTTCAAGATTTAGCTCTTCTTTGAAATGGATAATGGACAAAAATGAGAATAATTGTAAGCAACAATAATTAAATTTATTGATTGATAGGGAGTAACAGAAAAATGTGTTAAAACATTTCGTTAACTTGTTTCATAACCGACCTCCCAAATCGAAAATATCCACTCTTAAAATATGTGGATAACATTTTCTTTTTTACCCTTCACCATAGTATGGAGGTATATTATGTCATTCCGTTTGTAACACCTCGAAATAAACATGTTAGACCCCACAAAGTTTATATATACTTGATCGGCATAAAATTCTATGTCGATTTAGCTATGTCCGTCCGTCTGTGGAAATCACTCCAGCTTCCGAACGAATTGAAGTAGATTGATAAAATTTTACTCAAATGTATGCTATGTCTGTAGGACTTTTGGTATTGAATATGGGCCATGTAGGTCCACGTTTTGATATAGCCCCCATATAACGGTAGATCCCGATATTCGGTACTTTGTTGATTTTAGCAACATTATTCACCGGAATTGTTTCAAATTTGGTATTTGAAGTTCGTAATGGATGATGCAACCTATGACAGAAGATTGTCTGTGCAGGTTCACGTCTTCGTAAAGCTCCCATATAACGTACCTCCCGATATTCGGTATTTTGATGATTTTAGCTTCATTATTAACGATTTTTTAAGTTTCGCATTTGAATATTGTGCGTGTGTGCTCAGTACGTTCTTGCTTCAGTTTGCAAAATGTTAAAGAAAATTGGAATGCCACGTTTCCATTGGGGACAAACTGGCAAGAAACTAACTTTTCGAAGCCAAATGTGAAATCCTTTCAGTGTGTAGAAACTTGACTTATGGCTAAATATAAAATATAGCTATTCTCAAAAATTATTTGTGCTATAAGTTCAATTACTCATTAAAAATTCGAATAATTTGAATTTCAGCAGATTTGGTTGGAAATTATGGCAGAAATCTGTAAAATAAGGGATATCATTAAATAGGACTATGCCTATGTTAGAAGAACTTCATTGATTAATTATGGCGAGTTGCAAATTATCGTTCAGAGAACCCAAATTACCTATGCTGAGATCCCGACATATCCAATTACAACAGATTTGGAATGAAATTGGGCAGAAACCTTCAATGTGGTGGCTATACAAAAATATTTCTTCATTCTATCCTGACGAATATTTAAAGAGTGTAGTTTCTTAAATGTTAGTGATTTGCTTAAAAATTATTATTTATTTCTCTCCAGTCATCCAATTCTATAATCTAAATGCATTTATTAAACTATCTTATATATATTGTCCGCGGTTTCTTCTCTTAGCAAACCAGTCGATAAGAAATATAGCGTCCAGCCGTCTCAGAAGAACGAATAATCTTTACAACCTGACCTCTTTTAAGACCAAAATATCTTGAGACTGGGTCACCGGCCTGAATTCTCATCAACATGTTCTCCTTCAATTTATAACGAGCCAACAGCTCTTGCTTCTCCTCCGGTGTCATGACCACATGTTCCGGAACCAACTCGTGTTCAGTGATGTTAATCAACAATTCGGATTCCAAGAATTGTTCCAGTATATATTTGGGAGCCATATCGACGAGAGATTGCTTAGCCGAGGGTGTCATACCAGCCTGAACAACAACAATAGCTCTATGAATATTCTCCTCCTGCATACGAGTACAGTAGGTCTTAATTGTCTTGATTCCGATTTTAGGTTCGTCGGGGAAGAACACAAACATCTGATCGGTAGGATCATCGTTATGGGCCACCAAAACAATCAAATCCGAACGAGCTGGCCGTTTTTCACTGGGCTTGTCGCCAAACATTTCCTTGAATTGTTCCAATGTCTGATCCAATTCATCTTGTGTCACCAAATAACCTCTGTCGTGGCTTAACTGCATAATGGTTTTGCGAATACGCCACAGTTTGTAGGTCTCAGCTTCATCATCCATAATTTAATTTCGTAACTAATAAATGCAGGAAGAAATACACGAAAAATCCAGAAATGAATTGGAAGCACGCCGTCTGTCAAACAAAAAAAAATCAACGAGTTAGCGTCTAGGGTTGCCAATGTTTAATAAAAATATCTCAATAACCGGTAGTTGGTACGTATATATATTACGTTCAAGTTGGCAAATTCCTCGAAAACATCGATAGTTCCTTGATGTGGTGTTCAAACGATGTTCAATAGATCTCATACCATGCGTTTGCAACATGGTAGAAAAAATCAGGTAGACGCATCAACGCTTGGGAAAATTGATATGTTAAAAAATTTTAAATGTATTTTGAAATATAAGTAGATTTTTATATGTTATATATATATGTATGTCATTCGGAGGTTGTTATAATTCGCGATTTTTCAAAAAATTTTAAATAATTTTTTATTCAGCATTTTCAATTCCAAAATTGGTTTGACAGTTCATAGTCCCAGCAGCTGTGTCGATGCGTCTATCTATATTCTTCTACCATTGTTTGCAAAAACGGCACAATAGAGTTCATATCATGGTATATTTGTGACGGAAAGAGCCTCAGTGCTATATCTCTGCAGTTTTCCGAAGCTGTTTTAGTAGATTCTTGCAGGTTTGGAACGTCTTGGTTTTTTTGTATCTCGTGTTTAAAATATTTTCAAAATTATTAATTTGACAACATCTCATTGTCAAAACGTTTATTAATAAAGATGTTGACAAATAATTTGAAAAAAAAAAAATTGTAAATATATGATTGCAATACTTTATCTTCTTAATCATGATAAAACTGTATTGTGCTACTATTTTAGATTCAATCTTGTGGGATAACTCCAAAATTACATTCTTGTTTCGCGGGCTTTCCCCAATGCTAATAACGATGGCTCAATAAGAAAGGTTGCTCGAATTCAAGGAAACTGTAACTTTTATTGTTTATTAAATATTTTTTGACAAAATTGCTATATTGTGGAAATCCCACAAAACATGAATGAAATATTGAGGTTTCACCCATAGCCCATATATATATATATATATATATATATATATATATATATATATACTGGTTACAAAATGGAATTCTTTTCTTCATTTCCAGTGCACAATGACCACCAAAATCTCTGGATACCAATGGCACTAAAAAATACCAAAGTGTCGATCACCTCAAGCAAGCGCTACGCCGGGAATGTGCCAAAATACCGCAGAGCAACATTGGGCAGCGTGTGGTTTCATTGGCTGTTTGAAGGTTCTAATTCGTACTAAAGGTGACCAATTCGAACAAATCTAAACTTATTCTAAAATTGGATGCTATTTCCGACATTTTTTGCTTTCATTCAATAAAATTTAAAAAAATATAAAAATTATGGCGTTTGACTTTGTTGCAGTTTTTTTTATTTCACCCTTTATGTAGGTAGAAGACTTGTATTTTTTTGGGAATTCGCCTTCTGGTCGACCTTACAATTGGGCAATGGGAGCACCAAAAGAAGAAAAATAATTAGGAGGTAGATTTGTTCTACCTTCTGTAATTATGCCATGGTAGTAACAAATGCAACAACTAGTTTTCTTTAATTGACACTTCTCTCACAATATTCTCATTCAAGAGAGAGAGAGAAAAGTAACTTCCCCGCAAAAGCTGTAAATATGAATTTAAATTTCAGTAGCATTTGAAAATTTTTAAAATTATTTTAATTACCATTCAAAATAATACATAAAAGTACAAAAACAGTATATATGTTTTGACATTACAATGCTACTAAAAGAAAAAAAAAATTGTAATCAGGTGATTGCTATACCCTACAATGGTTCCGAGTAAATAAAAGGCTAAATATAGTTTGCAATAAAAAACGAAAAATTACAATTTATTAAAAACATAAGTAAAGGTGTTAAGTAAAACGATCGTTCGGTAATGTCCCTGGCCAGCCGATTTAAAAACAATTCCAAATATAAATCTATATGTCCATATCCTCAACACCATGTGCCATTGCTTGTTCGTGTAGACATTTACAATACTCCTCAGCAGCCTCACAGTGGTCGTCGGATACACTTAGCTTGGCGCATGAATCAATAATTTCTTGAGCAATTTTCATTTTATCTTCAGCTCCTTCGGTATACATCTGAGCATGCTTGAGAGCAACAGCCGGTGCGAATTTACCATTTGCATCGATCTACACAATAAACGAAGTATTATTAATGTTTAATTTAAATGGTTTGTCAATCATTACTGTGGGTATTGATTTATTTAACGTACCACTTCATATTTCTTCATAATACATGCACGCAAACATTTTCCCTCGGGTGTTGAGGCTGGCTTTTTCCCAATTATTTCACCAAGATCAGCTAAAAATATGAAAAGAATAACATTTCTTTTAGAGTCTTGAGCTTATTTTTTTAAGTTCTTAAATATTTTTCTTTTTATTTAATTTGGCTCGAGGTTAGTAGAATATTCATATATCATACCCCCTCCCTCCCTCCCGATATTCGGTATTTTGATGATTTATGCCACATTTTTTCACGGATTTATCTGAAACGAATTTCTCTGAAAATTGGTAATTGTAGATCATAATGGGCCCTAGTTCGTGTGGCGAAACATTGTATGCATAGGTCCACGTTTTTGTATAGCCCCCATATAATGGTACCTCCCGATATTCGGTATTTTTATGATTTTTGCCACATTATTCATGGGTTTGTCTAAAAATTTGTACTTGTTGGTCATAATGGGTTCTAGCTCCGGTGGCGAAACATTGCATCTATAAGTTCACGTTTTTGTATAGCCCTATATAGCGGTACCTTCCGCAAATTTTCACACGAATATGTCTAAAAATTGGTATTTGTGGGTCATAATTGGTTCTAATGTTTCCATTACCCTAAGGTGGAGCGTATTAAAAGTTCGACCCTGCCGAACTTAATGTTTTTTTTACTTGTTTGTTTATATGTGTGTATTCTTTTCAATAATAAAAAAGTTTCAGAAAATATTCAAATGCGGGTGTTTTCAAAATGATTATTGCAATTATGCAACGGCAAAGCTACAGTTTTTGTAGCGAAATAAACCTTTAGAGGTATATAAAACACTAGCTGAAACCGGTGCGCTTCGCTACCCCTTCTGATTTTATATGCCTTTAATATTATATACAAGAAAATATTTGTTGGTTTATCAAAAAATACATGGTAAAATTAAGAAGGTAAAGTTATTTCAAATAAGACTGTCCATCTTGCCCTTTCTCCAACAGAATTTGGAGGGTATATTAAGTTTGTCATTCTGTTTGCAAAACGTCGAAATATACATTTTAGACCCCAATGCGAAAAGGTCAGACGTCCTAATTTCTTAGTTTTTTTTTGCATATGTTTTTTATACCCTACACCACAAGGTGGTCAGGGTATTATGTCTTTGTGCATTTGTTTGTAACAGGCAAAAGGAAACGAGATAGACCACTAGCTCCTTTTGATAATCTGCATAGAATCACCTTTTTAGTCGATTTATGCATGTCCGTCCGTCTGTCCATGTATTTTTGTGAACAAAGTACAGTTCGCATTTATTACCCGATCCGGATGAAAATTTCCAAACAACATTTGTTTGGCCCAAGGACGAACCCTTTTGAAATTAATCGGTAAAAAATTAGATATAGCTCCCATATATATCTCCTTCCGATTGGCCTTTTATTGTGCACCAAACGTGTAATATCAGCCCGAATAGTATGGAATTTTGCACATACAACCAAATTAGACCTGAAAAAAGTATGCCAAATTTGATCGAAATCGGCTCAGATATAGCTATAACTCCCATATATATTGTTCATCCGATTTGTTATTTTTGTCCTCCGCAGCCGTAATATGCACCCTATAACAACAATATTTGGGGAAATATATCAAATGCAGCTCAGAAATACCTTTGCTAAATTTTATCGAGATCGGTTCAGATTTGGATATATATATAACTTCGTCCGATTTACCTTTTATTGTGCACCAAACGTCTAATTTTTGTCCAAATGGAATGGAATTTGGTACTTACGACCGAATTGAGTCTAGAAGCTAGTATGTCAAATTTTGAAGATCGGTTCAGATATAGCTATAGCTCCCATATATACTGTTCATCCGATTTGTCACATTTGTTACCCACAGCCGTAATATGCACTCTGTAACAACGATATTCAGGGAAATATTTCAAATACAACTCAGAAATATCTTTGCCAAATTTTATCGAGATCGGTTCCGATTTTGATATAGCTCTCATACATATTTTTATCCGATTTCAAATTAATTGTGCATCAAATGGGCAATACAAGTCCCAATTTAAAAGTTACAAATACTTCGGCATTTTTAGTCCTTTGTACTTTAAATTATAATTATAATCATAGCGTGTATGATTGAATTCTCCCATAAAAACTTTTAATTGTTATGCGCAGCTCTACTAAATTAGCAAACTGGTGTAGGGTATCATAAAGTCGGTCCCGCCCGACTTTAAGACTTTCTTTACTGGTTTTTAAAATTACTTAAATAAAGCGAAAGTTAAATGAAGTTCCTTGATATTATTTAAAATTTGACATACTAGTTTCTAGACTCAATTCAGTCGTAAGTGCCAAATTTCATCCGATTTGGGCAAATATTAGACGTTTGGTGCACAATCAAAGGTAAATCGGACGAAGTTATATATGGGAGCTATATACAAATCTGAACCGATCTCAATAAAATTTGGCAAATATATTTCTGAGCTGTATTTGATATATTTCCCCAAATATTGTTGTTACAGAGTGCATATTACGGCTACGGAGGACACAAATTTCAAATCGGATGAACAATATATATGGGAGCTATAGCTATATCTGAACCAATATCGATCAAATTTGGCATGCTTATTTTCAGGTTCAATCTGATCGCACGTGCAAAATTCCATACTATTCGGACTGATATTACACGTTTGGTGCACAATAAAAGGCAAATCGGACGAATATATATGTGGGAGCTATATCTAAATTTTTACCGATTATCTCAAATTTCAATAGGGTTCGTCCTTGGGCCAAACAAATGATTTGTGCAAAATTTCATCTGGATAGGGCAAGAAATGAGAACTGTACTTTGTTTACAGAAATACATGGACAGACGGACGGACAAACGGACATGCATAAATCGACTCAGAATGTGATTCTATGCAGATCATCAAAAGGAACTATGGGTCTATCTCGTTTCCTTTTGCCTGTTACAAACAAATGCACAAAGACATAATACCCTGACCACCTTGTGGTGTAGGGTATAATGAGGAAATTAGAACAAAGTAGCGCAGGGCCAAAATTGAACTAAGTTAATCTAAAACTCTTTTGTTCCTCTACGAAAAAGCCAGCTGATGACTTAAGCCAATCAAAAAGGCGTTTTATGTATTTTTACATTTACACTCTTAACATTGCCTTAAGGTGAAAATATATATAATATGCTTTTTTACTGGCTTAAGTCAGCGGCTGGCTTCTTCATAGAGGAACAAAGGAGGAACAAGATTTCTGGTCGATATTGACAAAAATATTAAGAGAATTCTACTAGTGACTCTGTAAGTTTGACAATGTATTTTTTTCCCACTGGCTTACCATCATTTGCACCAACTTCGGCCTTGCATGCCTCTCCTTTCGACATAAAATCGGCTATCACTGCACTCTTATCGATTGCACCACGTACTATAACAGCTCCGAAAATGCACAGGATAGTAAGTGTAAATAAATATTTTGCCATTTTTATTTTGTTATGAGAATACTGAATGTTTCTATTTAGACAATTCAATTCGAACTCGTTATATTTTGAAAATTCTGATGGCTATTTATTAGAAGAAAATATGAAATTTATTTAACCGTTAAATTATAAGGTTCTTTATTTAAAAATTATAACATACATATTCAATGTCAATTAGACAGAGTTTAGTCAGACTGTTTGTATGTTAATCAATATAAATTGTTAGAATAATTTAGAAACAATCATTAATTAACCATTAATTGAATTATAATATCTATTAATTTAATTGAATGTTTATACATGAATGCACATAAATATGATGCATCGTTTCATACAAAAGTTGGATGAGGTCAATGCACTGCTGAAGTGTTCGGACGAGCGTAATATTCGAATTCGCATTTTATAAAAGATTCCGAGGCTTGCCATGTTCCTATTAGAATTGTAATGTGTTGTTCGCACTCAAAATAGTGTACAAGGTTCATACGATGCGATTCGTAATTCATAGTACCATAAATCCTTTTTATACCCTACACTACAAGGTGGTCAGGGTATTATGTCTTTGTGCATTTGTTTGTAACAGGCAAAAGGAAACGAGATAGACCCATAGTTCCTTTTGATGATCTGCATAGAATCACATTCTGAGTCGATTTATGCATGTCCGTCCGCCCGTCCTTCTGTCCATGTATTTTTTTAAACAAAGTACAGTTCGCATTTATTGCCCTATCCAGATGAAATTTTGCACAAATCAAGGACGAACACTATTGAAATTGGAGATAATCAGTAAAAATTTAGATATAGCTCCCATATATATCTTCGTCCGATTTTCCTTTTATTGTGCACCAAACGTGTAATATCAGTCCGAATAGTATGAAATTTTGTACGTACGATCAGATTGGACCTCAAAATAAGTATGCCAAATTTGATCGAAATCGGTTCAGATATAGCTATAGCTCCCACTTATATTGTTCATTAGATTTGTTATTTTTGTCCTCCACAGCCGTAATATGCACTCTGTAACAACAATATTTGGGGAAATATATCAAATACAGCTCAAAACTACCTTTGCTAAATTTTATCGAGATCGGTTCAGATTTGAATATAGCTCCCATATATAACTTCGTCCGATTTACCTTTGATTGTGCACCAAACGTCTAATATTTGCCCAAATGGGATGAAATTTGGCACTTACGACCGAATAGAGTCTAGAAGCTAGTATGTCAAATTTGGTGAAGATAGGTTCAGATATAGCTATAGCTCCCATATATACTGTTCATCCGATTTGTTATATTTGTTACCCACAGCCGTAATATGCACTCCGTAACAACGATATTCAGGGAAATATATCAAAATCAAATATCTTTGCCAAATTTTATCGAGATCGGTTCCGATTTGGATATAGCTCCCATATATATTTTTATCCGATTTCAAATTAATTGTGCACCAAATGGGCAATACCAGTCCGAATTTAAAAGATACAAATGCTTCGGCATACTTAAGCTGGGAATACATAAAGCGCTTATTTGGCTGGCTTAAGTCATCGGCTGGCTTCTTCGGAAATGAACAAAGGAGCCTAGGATCGAACTAGGTCAACCTAAAACTCCTTTGTTCAGCCAAAATGCGCTTTATGTATTTCCATCCTTCAGTTCTTTGAACTTTAAATTACAATTATAATCAAAGCGTGTATGATTGAATGCTCCCATTAAAACTTTTAATTGTTATGTGGAGCTCTACTAAATCAGCAAAGTGGTATAGGGTATCATAAAGTTGGGCCCGCCCGACTTTAGGACTTTCTTTACTGGTTTTCTTATATTTTATAACCCCGCCATAGCATTGAAGGTATATTAAATTTACTATTTCGTTTGTAACTCTTCAAAATAATCATACCCCACAAAGTATAAAGGTCAGAATACATAAAACGCTTTTGGCTTAAGTCATCGGCTGGTTTTCATTTGTTCTTTTCCGAAGTAGCCAGCCGATGACTTAAGCCAGTCAGAAAAGCGTTTTATGTATTCTCACCTTTAGTTCGATTTTTGGCCTATGCTCCTTTGTACTTTTCCAAAGAAGCCAGGCGATGACTTAAGCCAGTCAGACTGACTCCATATGAAACCCTACACCTTTACACCAAATCGTAAAAATTTGACAGAGGTATTTTTGAGCTCCATAAGTTATCTGGTACCAAATATCATTCTTGTGGAGTGCATACTACGCATGCAAGCGACTTAAACCCCAAATCAGATGAAACATATATATGGGCGCTATAGCTTTATCTGAACCGATTTCCTCCAAATTTTATGTACTTCCCACAATGTGGCGTAGGGTATAAAAAGGAGCGTAGGGTGAGCAAGGATAAATTATTAGTTTAAATATGAGGTCTACAGCAAATCATGGACGTATATGTCACATTCTCGGAAATGTTCCAGAACTAAAGTACATTTGAGTAACATTTTGTTTACCTACTTCATTTCGTTGGGAAGCTAACATGATTTCCACAGACGAACAGACGGACATAGGCCTTTAGTGCTTATTTCGAGTAGTGACAAATTTGTATATATGCGAGAACACATAGAACAATTTTTTACTGGCTTTTTATGTAAAAGAGCAATTAGGCATAGGGTGAGCAAGTATAAATTATGGGCCGAAATTGAACCAATAGTTACTTTTGAAGATCTTCATAGAATCACTTTTATAGTCGATTTATACATGTCAGTCCGTCTGTCCATGTATTCTTGTGCACAAAATGCAGGTGGCATTTATTATCCGATTGAGATGAAATTTTCCCAAGCCCACGGTCGAACTGATTGAAATTGGTAATAATCGGATCAGATTTAGATATAGCTCCCATATATATCCGATTTTGGGTTAATTGTGCACAAAATGGCCAATATAAGTCTAAATGCCCTGAATTTTGGCACATCCAACCGACTTTAGTCTAGAAGCAAGTACATACATTACGTCCCTCACATTCGTAATAGCCATTCGACAACAATCATATTATAGAGCTCGGAAATACCTCTGCCAAATGTTATTAATATCGGTTCAGATTTGGATATAGCCCCCAAATATATAGGATTTTGGGTTAATTGTGCAAAAAATGGCCAATACAAATTTACATTTTTTTTTAATTTTATTGAATGAAAGCAAAAAATGTCGGAAATAGCATCAAATTTTAGAATAAGCTTAGATTTGTTCGAATTGGTCACCTTTGACACGAATTATGGCCTCCAAACGACCAATTAAACCGTCACACGAAAAAAGCACAAAAAATAATTATCAAAATAAGCTAGCTGAAGACTTTAGCCAGTCCAAAAAGCGATTTATGTATTCTCACCCCTTAATTTAGGAACAGCAAAGGCTTCTTCCTAATAGAATAGGTTTTTGAGTTCCTCTCATTCGTAGGATCCATTCGACAACAATGATATTTGGTGCTAGATATCTTATAGAGCACGGAAATACCTCTGCGGAATTTTATCAAGATCAGTTCAGATTTTGATTTAGCTCCCATATACATATCATATTTTGGGTTAATTGTGCACCAAATGGCCAATATCTGTCCAAAAGTCCTGATTTTGGTACATCCGACCGAATTCAGTCTAGAAGCAGGTACATATAGCTATAGCTCCCATATATATGCTTCTTCCGATTTGGTGTTTAACTCCTTCAAATTCGTAATGTGCACTCCACAACTATGATATATCGTACCAGATATCTTATAGAGCTCGGAAATACCTCTGCCGAATTTTATCGAGATCAGGTAAGATTTGCATAAAGCTCCTAAATATCCTTAATCCGATTTCAGGTTTATTGTGCAAATAAATGGAGTGAATTTCGGGACGTACGTTTCCATTTCGTGGAAATAGGGTCCGATATATTTATACCCTACACCACAAGGTGGTCAGGGTGTTATGACATTGTGCATTTGTTTGTAACAGTTTGTAACGAGATAGACCCGTAGTTCCTTTTGAGGATCTGCATAGAATCACATTCTGTACGTCTGACCATGTATTTTTATGAACAAAGTATAGTTCGAATTTATTACCCGATCCAGATGAAATTTTCCAAACAACATTTGTTTGGCCCAAGGACGAACGCTATTGAAATTAATCGGAAAAAAATTAGATATAGCTCCCATATACAGGGTTGCCCATATTCGACGGACCTTTGGGCCCTTTGGGCACATTCCAATCAACGAGGCTTGTCTGCAGGAAACAGTCTTTGCGTCAATTGAATTTTGTACGGGAACACATGCAAATCAATGCGAATAATCCGTTGTAAAGTGGACCGAGCCATGCCCAACTGCTGAGAACGGCGTTTTTGGGGTGTTCTAGGGGACCTCTCAACACTGGCTCGTACGGCAGCGATATTCTTGGCCGATCGCCTTGGTCGACTTTTATATGGCCTCTTCGGATTAGAAAGAGCCTTACCAGTCGAAAATTTTTCGTATAAACGCTTAATGGTGTTCTTAGAAGGCGCACTTCTCACATTTTTTAATGTTTTAAAAGCACGTTGAGTTTTCACAATTGACTTCTTGTAAATTTCAACTATTTCAGAGAGCTCGCGTGTATTGGTTCATGGTAAAAATCTGCTTGGACTGACGCTTCAAACGCGGTATGTCATTAAGCGATGTGACATCTCTGTCAAAAGTTATGGCGTTGCCAGATGGGTCCGTCGAATATGGGCAACCCTGTATATCTTCATCCGATTGGCCTTTTATTATGCACCAAACGTGTAATATCAGTCCGAATAGTATGGAATTTTGCACGTACGATCAGATTGGACCTGAAAATAAGTATGCCAAATTTGATCGCAATCGGTTAAGATATAGCTATAGCTCCATATATATATTGTTCATCCGATTTGTTATTTTTGTCCTCCGTAATATATTTCTGTCCTCCCCAACAATATTTGGGGAAATATATCAAATGCATCTCAGAAATACCTTTGCTAAATTTTATCGAGATCGGTTCAGATTTGGATAAGCTCCCATATATAACTTCGTCCGATTTACTTTTATTGTACACCAAACGTCTAATATTTGCCCAAATTGAATGAAATTTGGCACTTATGACCGAATTGAGTCTAGAAGCTAGTATGAAGATCGGTTCAGATATAGCTATAGCTCCCATATATACTGTTCATCCGATTTGTCATATATTTTTGTCAGGGAAATATTTCAAATATACCTCAGAAAAATCTTTGTCAAATTTTATCGAGATCGGTTCCGATTTGTAAATAGCTCCCATATATATTTTTATCCGATTTTAAATTAATTGTGCACCAAATGGCAATACAAGTCCGAATTTAAAAGATACAAATGCTTCGGCATATTTAGTCCTTTGAACTTTAAATTATAATTATAATCATAGCGTGTATGATTGAATTCTCCCATAAAGACTTTTAATTGTTATGCGCAGCTCTACTAAATTAGCAATGTGGTGTAGGGTATCATAAAGTCGGCTCCGCCCGACTTTAAGACTTTCTTTACTGGTTTTTTAATATAATGCTTCTCATGCACTCTATAGCAATTTTATTTCGTATACAAGATTAAAATGTCTCCAAATTAAGTGAAAATAGATTCAGAATTGGAAGTGCCTCCCATAAAGCCAAATGTTGATTGGTGGTATGATCTACTTCAAATAAATTCTCTTTTTTTGACGGGAGCTCTAATAAATATGCATAGTGGTGTAGGGTATCATATAGTCGACCCCGCCAGACTTTTGACTTTTCCTTACTGGTTCAGTAATTGTAATTGTTTTAAGCTTAATATTCTATTCATGTTTTGTGATTGTTCTTTAATATAAAAATTTTGTGAAAAAAATTTAAAATAAAGAATACTAATTGTTGCGTTTTTAAAAAATCTATTTGATACAATAAGACTATGTGCAGAATTGCAGGTTTCCGAGTTCTTTTAAAATTATACTACCCACTGTGCCATATTTAACATTGACATTAAAAATAAAGAGCGATATAAATATGAGCTTTGCAGAAAATTTCTCTAAAAATTATCAATATTCTAAAAATTCAGTTATTTCTGGGAAATGTATTCGAGTCTTTCATCATTAGATCCATGTTCAATTACAATTTGAATTGCGTTAGCCCACGATCCGCAGCCTTTTTTATTAAGCATTTGCTGTATTGTTCAGCAGCTTGGCAATGATCAGGCGATACTTTAATCCGAGCGCAGGATTTTACGATTTCTTTGGCTTTCTTTAGTTTTTCGGCATCGCCATCAGCGTATCTTTCAGCGTATTTAAGGGCAATGTCAGGGACGAATGTGCCATTGACAGTCATCTGTTGGATGACAAATTATGTGAGGTTTCAGTGATTTCATATTATTTTTATTTTAATAGAAATCTTACCATTTCGTATTTTTTCATAAGGCAAGAGCGCAAACATTTCCCTTCAGCTGTTGATGAAGAATTTTGTGCCACAATTGCTTTGAGATCAGCTGAAAGTTTGAGAAAAATGAATTTTGTGTGTGTATTTTCTTTCGAGGAAATTCACAAAGAAAGTTGGAAAAACAAAAATGAATGATCAAGTTCTACATTAAAGATTACAAGTATCTGCTAGTTCTGTATTTTTTTCTTTTTTTACTCAAAGCCCAACCGATCTTGATAAAACTTGACAGAGGTATTTCTGGGCTGTACAGGGTGAGATGAAAAAATTGCAACCAAATTCAGGCCGCCACTCGTCCGACAGCTGTTAAAATTATTCCAGTGACAGCTCATTATATGGTTTACAAGCCTACAAAAGCATTTTGGTGAGAATTTTCCAGAAAAAAAATTATTCGTGATGGAATTCAAGCGTGATAGTGTGATTTCTTTATATTTGGCTGGAAAACCACAAGTGTCTATCGTTAGAGCACTTCCGCATTTGAATGTGAATAAATCTATTGTGTCTCATACCATCGCTCGTTACGTGTTAGGCAGACGTCAAAGAAGTGGACGGAAGAAAATAGCAACATCAGCAGAAATGGTTCGAAAAGAAAAGAAGCGACTTGATCAAAACCCGCGTTGCAGTGGCCGAAAAATGGCCCATGAGCTGAAAATATCGCAATATTCCATTCGGCAAATATTGAAAAATGGGCTCGGGGTAAAGCTATTGAAATTTCAAAAAGTGCAAGAACTTACACCGCAACAGAAAGAAAATAGATTCAAAAGAGCTAAAGAGTTACTTCGCTTGGCCGAAAGTGGTGAACTGCCGAATTTGGTTTTCTCCGATGAGAAAACATTCGTTGTCCAGAAGTTTGTAAACAAACAAAATGATCGTGTTTACTTGCCAAAGAGGTCAGCTGAAAATGTGCAGCTTCGGTTGGCCACCAGAACTCAAGCTCCGGCCATGGTGATGGTGTGGGCCGCCATAAAAGCCGATGGTCGTTGTCCGCTCAACTTTTTCTAAAATTTGATGCTATTTCCGACATGGCGTTTGACTTTGTTGCAATTTTTATACCCTCCACCATACTATGGAGGGTATATTAACTTTGTCATTCCGTTTGTAACTCCTTGAAATACTCATATCAGACCCAACAAAGTATATATATTCTTGATCAGCGTAAAATTCTAAGTCGATTTAGCGATGTCCGTCTGTCTGTCTGTTGTAATCACGCTATCTTTCGAATGAATTGAGATAGATGGCTAACATTTTGCACACATGTTTATTTTTCCAGTAGTCAGGTTAAGTTCGTAAATGGGCCATGTAGGTCCACGTTTTCATACAGCCCCCATATAACGGTACCTCCTTATATTCGGATGATTTTAGCGGCATTATTCACCGGAATTGTTTCAAATTTGGTATTTGAAGTTCCAAATGGATACTACACCCTAAGACAGAAAATTGTCTGTGCAGGTCCACGTCTTCGTATAGCTCTCATATAACGGTACCTCCCTATATTCGGTATTATGATGATTTTAGCGACATTATTCACCGGAATTGTTTCAAAATTGGCATTTGAAATTCGTAATGAATACTACAGTCTAAGATAGAGAATTGTCTGTGCAAGTCCATGTCTTCGTATAGCCCCCACATAACGGTACCTTCCGATATTCGGTATTTTGATGATTTTAGCGACATTATTCACCGGAATTGTTTCAAAATTGGTATTTGAAGTTCGTTATGTGAACTACAGTCTGTGACAGAAAATTGTCTGTGCGGGTCCAGGTCTTCGTATAGGCCCATATACCAGTACCTCCCTATATTCGGTATTTTGACGAGTTTAGGTACAATACCCACCGAAATTGTTTGAGATGTCGTATTTGAAGTTCGAAATGTATGCTACAGCCTATGACAGAATATTGTCTATGCTGGTCCAGGTCTTCGCACAGCTCCGATATAACGGTACCTTCCTATATACGATATTTTGATGATTTTAGCTACATTTTTCACCGTTTATTTCAAGTTTCGAATTTGATTATGGTAATGGCTTATGACAAACAATGCCTATGTATGTCCACATCGTTTAGACCCCAATATAATGGCTATATTCGGTATTTTTAAAATTTTAACAGAATTTTTTAAGGATTTTATTTTTTAAACATTTCCAAATTCGTTGCAAATGGTGGAGGGTATTAAAAGTTCGGACCGACCGAACTTACTGCTTTTTAACTTGTTTTTATCTCACCCTGCATATTTAGTTACAGTGTGCTACAATTATTTCCAGGTAGTCTCATTTTAAATAACGATATCCAGCTCTGAATTTTTCTGTAATTTACCTTGTCATATTTTACTGCATAGAAAGTTAGTACCCATCTCTGATTTGTGTATATAGGATGTATTAATGATCAAAGACCTAAAATGGTAAAGACTGGACAAAATGCATTCTGAGCAAATGGTTTGTGTCTATACTGTCTAGATAACAGCTCAAGACAGGACCATGTTAATATAAAAAAACACATTTATAGAAAAAAATGACAAACAAAACTTTGAAAACTCCAAAAATTTGGTTTCCAAATTCTATTCCATAGACTTTCCCAATTAATTGCATATTGCCTAAGCGGGTTAAATCGCTTAACATTGCTAACTATGTTGTTACGATATCATAACAACAGAGGTATTTTCACAGGGTTGCCACATCTTGACTCTGTCTTGTCCCATCATTATACTTCTATGTCTTTGTAATGATTACCCATTTTGACAATGAAATGTTGTCAAAGGAATTATTTTGTAATAATTATAATTTGATTAAAGCACGGTTATATGCAACGTTTTCGGTGCGGTCACTGGTGTCATTTGATCAATCACAATAAATACAACATATGTTTTCGATAGTTAACATTAATCGGAATAAAACTCATGACAGAGAGGACGGCAAACATACGAATCGTTGTAATTTACTATTTAAAAAAGGTAATAATGAATTAAAAAATTGAACATAATTACCATCTGTTGCTCCAGCTTCAGTTTTGCACGTTTCCATTTTAGACATTAAATCATCCTCCGTCTCTTGTTTCTCCAAGGATGCAGCAATTCCAAAAATGCACAGAACTGACAATGCCAATAAATATTTTGCCATTTTTTTTTTGTTTCGAGCGAGGTTAAAAACTCGAGGTGTAATGATGTGAAGAGAGATGGTCGTGAATACAGGGTTGGTGATAAATGATGACTATACTCCAGTTTAGTTGTTCTATTTATATGAATAGTTTTTGGGGAGCTGTAATTGTTAGTTGTTCATCTGTGAAATTATGTCATAATTTGTTCAAATTATGAACAAACATAGCAGCTTTGGTGATGGCATGACGGCTTGTTATTGATTTAATTTACTTATCTGCCTGATTATTTTCACAGTTGACGGTATTGAAAGTTTAATTACTGCAAAGTGGGAATTCCTGTTTGACTCAAAAATATGTACATGGTATATTTGCATAAAATAGTGATTAGAGTAAAACTTAAATCGCAAAGAAATCCCAAAGTGCAAATACATAGAAGGTTTTTTTGGCTTAAGTTATCGATTGGCTTCTTCGTTAAAGACAAAGCAGCATTAAATTGAGAATACATAAAAGGCTTTTTTGACTGCCTTAAGTTATCGGCTGGCTTCTTCGTAAAAGAACAAAGGAGCGTAGGGCTAACAAGTATGAGTTATGGACTTAAAGTGAACTAAGTCAACCTAAAACTCCTTTGTTTTTTTAGAAGGAGGCAACCGATAAGATAGGGCACCCTGCGGGGAAATAAATTGGTTTAAAACTAACTTAAAATTAGTTTAAAACAACTAAAACAAGCTGTAAGTTCGACTGGACCGAACTTTGAATACCCTCCACCATTTGGTACAAATTTAACAATTTTCAAAAAAAAAATCCGTCAACAATTCTGGTAAAATTTTAAAAATACCGGAAGTAGCCGTATATTAGGGTCTGTACGACGACGTGGACCTGCATAGGCAACTTTTGTCACAAGCTATTACAATATTCAAATGCGAAACTTGAAATAAAATCTGTTTATAATGTAGCTTAAATCATCAAAATATCGAATATAGGGAGGTACCATGGAGGTTATAAAAAGTGGTTCTGCACAAACAATTGTCTGTCATAGGCTGTAGTATCCATTACGAATTCCAAATACGAAATTTGAAATAATTCCGGTAAATAATGTCGTTAAAATCATCAAAATACCGAATAACGGACCTGCACAGACAATTTTCTGTCATAGGCTGTAGTATTCATTATGAAATTCAAATATCAAATTTGAAATAGTTCCGGTAAAAAATGTCGCTATAATCATCAAAATACCGAATATCGGGGGGTACCGTTATATGGGGGCTATACGAAGACGTGAACCTGCACAGACAATTTTCTGTCATAGGCTGTAGTATCCATTACGAACTTCAAATACCAAATTTGAAACAATTCCGGTGAATAAATTAGCTAAAATCATCAAAATACCGAATATCGGGAGGTACCGTTATATGGGGGCTATACGAAGACGTGGACCTACATGGCCCATTTTCAATACCAAAAGTCCTGCAGACATAATAATTTTATCAACCTACTTCATTTTGTTCGGAAGCTAGAGTGATTTCCACAGATGGACAGACGGACGGACATCGATAAAACGACAAAGAATTTTATGCTGATCAAGAGTATATATACTTGTGAGGTCTAAAATGTATATTTCGAGGTGTTACAAACGGAATAACAAACTTAATATACCCTCCATACTATGGTGGAGGGTATAAAAAAACCACAACTAGTTATTTTTTGATTAACTAACTATTTTAACATGGGGATAAGATAGGCAGTGGACAATCGTCCATTCCTGCATTACTTTTAAACTAAATATAAATTAGTTACTTTTAAACCGATTTTAAGTCAGTTATAAAATATGTTTAAAAGTTCAAAATTTTTTTATTTAGAACAGTGTTGGCTTGTTTGTTCGGGATACCTTTATTGTTGTTTTTATAAAAACAACGTTTGTTTATTAGTGGAGAACGATGGTAATGTTTACCAGGGGGTAAGGCAGGAAATACCTAGGTAAACATTACCATCGTTCTCCACTAATAAACAAACGTTATTTTTATAAAAACAACAATAGAGGGATAAAGCCTGACCGTTTTGCAACAACAAAATTTTTCATTTATTTATTTTATTTATTTATTTATTTTATTTATTTATTTATTTTTTTTTGATAGTCATTTTTTCTATTTGAAGGAGGAGTGCTATTTACAGATGCCCTGTCTGTACTGTTTTTTTTTTAACCATATGTACTGTATGTATTGAGGCTAGCAGCACTAGCTTGTATTATTGTTTTGTTGCATTTATATCGAAGTATTTTTAGAAATGTATTATGCGAATTATTGCAAAGTTGTTTGATATAACCAGTCATCTTTGTTTTTTATTTTTTTTCGTACAAATTGGTTGATTTCTAGATGATTTTACAACCAAATAATAGTTAGTTTATAAGAAGTTAGTACATAAATGCATTATTCTTCAACCATTTTGTAGTTAGTTGTAGAATAAGGCAGTTATAACTAACGATTTTCTCAACTAGCAGAAAAAATTCCAGCTGGACAGTAAGAGTGGAAATACATAAAGCGCATATTTGGCTGGCTTAAGTCATCGGCTGGCTTCGTCATATATGAACAAAGGAGTTTTAGGTTGACTTATTTCGATTTAGCTCTAGGATCCTTTGTTTATTCCAGATAAGCGGTTAATGTATTTCCACCTTAAGTATGTAGATGAACGACATGGTTTCCAATTGAGCATGGTAGAAGGATACAGGTAGATGCTTCAACGCTTGGGAACATTGATATGCCAAATTTTTTATAACGTTTTTTTTTTCCAAAAATAAGTAGTATTTTATAGGGTTTCTTATACGACATCAATCGGAGTTTGTAATTATATGCATTTTTCAACAATTTTTACAAACTTGAATTTTTTCATTCGGTATTTGGCGTTTGTAATGGGTTCTACCTCATATGGCACAATATTGTCTATATGGATCCACGTTTTCCTATAGCCTCCATATACAGGTACCTCCCGATATTCGATATTTTGACGATTTTATCCATATTTTCTAAAGGAAAACGGTATTTGGAGTTTGTAATGGGTTCTACCTCCTGAGGCAGAACATTGTCCACATAGGTCCACACTTTCCTATGGTCCTCTACATAAAGGTATTTCCCAATATTCGGTATTTTGACGATTATAGCCCTATTTTCCAATGTCTATCGGTTTATATAGAACAATTTCTATATATTAATACGTTTTTCTATAGCCTCTATTTTTATAATTGTAGCCATCTTTTTTTTATACCCTATATTCTTGATCAGCATAAAATTCTATGTCGATTTAGCGGTGCCCGTCCGTTTGTCTTTCTGTGGAAATCACTCTAGCTTCCGAACGAATTGAAGTAGATTGATAAAATTTTACTTAAGTGTATACTATGTCTGCAGGACTTTTGGTATTGAAAATGGGCCATGTTTTGGTATAGCCCCATATAACGGTACCTCCCGATATTCGGTATTTTGATGATTTTAGCGACATTATTTACCGGAATTATTTCACATTTTGTATTTGAAGTTCGTAATGGATACTACAGCCTATGCTAGAAAATTGTCTGCGCAGGTCCACGTTTTATAACCCCCATGGTTTCTCCCTATATTCGGTATTTTAATGATTTTAGCTGCATTATAAACAGATTTTTTTCAAGTTTCGCTATTGAATATTGCAATAGCTTGTGACAAAAGTTTCCTATGCAGGTCGACGTCGTCGTATAGACCCTAATATACCGCTACATTCGGTATTTTTACGACTTTAACAGAATTTTAACGGATTTTATTTTTCTGAAAATTGCCAAATTTGTACCAAATGGTGGAGGGTATTCAAAGTTCGACCCGGCCGAACTTACAGCTTTTTTACTTGTTTTTCTAAATTTTATTGAATGAAACCAAAACAATGTCGGAAATAGCATCAAATTTTAGAATAAGTTTAGATTTGTTCGAATTGGTCACCTTTTGCACGAATTATGGCCTTCAAACGACCAGTGAAAGCGTCACACGCTGCCCGAAAGTTGCTCTGCGGTATTTTGGCCCATTGCCGGCGAAGCGCTTGCTTGAGGTGATAGACACTTTGATATTTTTTAGTGCAAAACCTTGCTTTCCAAAATACTCCAGACACAATAGCCCAACAAATTGGTATCCGGAGATTCTGGTGGCCATGGTGCGCTGGAAATGAAGCGAGAAACCTCATTTTGTAACTATTCTTGGGTGGCGCGTGCTGAGTGCAAAGGTGCTGAGTCCTGTTGGAATGTCCAAGGTCTGCGGCCAAAATGTTTGCGTGCCCAAGGCTTTAATACACCCTCCAGAGTTTTTTCGCTATAATATTCGGCATTTATTCTGATGCCACGGACGATTAATACGAACCATCATCATGGCCGGCGCTTGAGTTCTGGTGGCCAACCGAAGGTGCACATTTTCGGCTGACCTCTTTTTGCAAATAAACACGATCATTTCGTTTGGTTACAAACTGCTGGACAAAGAATGTTTTCTCATCGGAGAAAACCAAATTCGGCAGTTCACCACTTTCGGCCAAGCGAAACAACTCTTTAGCCCTTTTGAGTCTATTTCTTTTATGTTGCGGTGTAAGTTCTTGCCCTCTTTGGGCAATGGCTTTTCCCCGAGCTCATTTTTCAATATTTGCGAATGAAATATTGCGATATGCCATTTTTCGGCCACTGTGACGCGGGCTTCGATCAAGTCGCTTCTTTATTTTCGAAACATTTCTGCTGATGTTGCTGTTTTCTTCCGTCGACTTTCTTGACGTAGGGCTACGCTACCAGTATCACGGTTGCGAGCGATGGTACGAGACACAAAAGATTTATTTACATTTAAATGCTGGAGTGCTCTAACGATAATTTTGCACAACTTGCAATATATATATGAAACTAAGGGCAAATACGAAATGGACGGTATTGGCCACCCTTTCGGATCCTCTCCCATAAAGGGTGATAAGCTTGAATAATCATAACGCAAGTCAACATCTGTCGGCAAAACCAACAGATACTTTTTAACTTGTTTACTTCTTATTCGGTTGTGTATGTTTGTATAAACAAACATCCTTTTGTAGAAATGTCTTTGCAAATATTTCAATCTTTTTACTTCGACAGGTTAATGTCGATCAAATTCCGCATGGACATAACAACGATCAGTCGTAGCTAAAAAACGATAAACAAAGCGTTTTGCTTAATACTGGTTAATCAACTCTTCACTAACATCATTTGTTTAATTTTACGGTTCAGATACGCTCTCCAACAATCAAACAAAAACATATCCAATTAGAACCAATTAAAATATATTATTTCCCCATAATGCAACAAAAAAACCTTTGTTTGGAATAATCACAGAAGTTTCCATTAGGGTACAAATTAATGAAATAATACGTGTAATTATGATTCCAAAAAAATGATCTAATTTGCGAATTTGACCGAAAATAATTTAGGAGAAATTTGATTTGTTGTAGATTGGAAATAAAACCAATTCTTTTTAATAGACTATGGAAAGAGTGTGAGAAGATCAAATGTCTAGTCTCTAGTTGCCCAAAATACAGGGTGAGATGAAAAAACTGCACCCAACTCCAGACTGCGGTCATTTCTAAGCCACTCGTCCGACAGCTGTTAAAATTATTCCAGGGACAGCTCATTATATTGTTTACAAGCGTACAATAGCATTCTGGTGAGAATTTTCCAGAAAAAAAGTTATTCGTGATGGAATTCAAGCGTGATAGTGTGATTTCTTTATGTTTGGCTGGTAAACCACAAGTGGCTATCGTTAGAGCACTCCAGCATTTAAATGTGAAGGAAGTGGACGTCAAGGAAGTGGACGGAAGAAAACAACATCATCAGCAGAAATGATTCGAAAAGTAAAGAAGCGACGGTATCGAAACCAGGTCGCAGTGGCCAAAATGGCTCGTGAGCTGAACTTATCGCAATATTCCATTCGGCAAATATTGAAAAATGAGCGTGGGGTAAAGCCATTGAAATTCCAAAAAGTGCAAGAACTTACATCAGAAACAGAAAGAAAATAGACTCAATAAAGCTAAAGAGTTGCTTCGTTTGGCCGAAAGTGGTGAGCTGACGAATTTGGTTTTCTCCGATGAGAAAACATTTGTTGTCCAGTAGTTGGTAAACAAACAAAATGATCGTGTTTACTTGCCAAAGAGGTCAGCTGAAAATGTGCACCTTCGCTTGGCCACCAGAACTCAAGCGCCGGCCATGGTGATGGCGTGGGCCGCCATAAAAGCTGATGGTCGCTCTCGGATCGTATTAATCGACCGTGGCATCAGAATACATATTCTGGAATTAATGCCTTGGGCACGCAAACATTTTGGACATTCCAATAGGACACAGTCCCATCGCACTCAGCTCGCGCCACCCAAGAATAGTTACAAAATGAAGTTCCTCGCTTCATTGCCTTTGGACTATTGCGTCTGGAGTATTTTGGAAAGCAACGTTGGAACTAACAAATAGCAAAGTGTTGATCACCTGAATCAAGCACTTCACCTTGTGACGGTTTCATTGGCCGTTTGAAGGCCATACTTCGTGCCAAAGGTGACCAATTCGAACAAATCTAAATTTATTCTAAAATTTGATGCTATTTCCGACATTTTTTGCTTTCATTCAATAAAATTTAAAAAAAAAATGTAAAATATTTGGCGTTTGACTTTGTTGCAATTTTGTATAATGGGTGTTTCTTATTTTGTATTTCAATTATTTCTTACAATCAAGACAAAAACGTGCAGATCCGTCTAGGTTTTTTAAGGATAATTTTGCCGACTTTTATTAAAAAATTAAAACTGATAATTTTCATTGATTCCATGAGCATTGGCTTGCTGTTTGAAGCACTTGCCATAATCTTCAGCAGCTTGACAATGATCCGATGACACTTCAATGTCGGCGCAAGCGTTGATAATTTCCGAAGCAACTTGCATTTTATCAACAGCACCGTCGGTTACTTTTTCGGCATGTTTCAGGGCAACATCAGCCACAAATTTGCCTGAGTCATTCATCTGAAAGAAGAACGTAAAATGCGATATTTGAATACATATTTTTAATTCTATTTAATAAACAGCTTACCACTTCGAACTTTTTCATCAGACATGCTCGTAAACACTTTCCCTCCATAGTTGAGGCTGGTTTTCGTTCAATCAGTTCTTCCATATCGACTGTAAGATTTTTTCAAATACATTTTATCAAATTGAATTGTTTTTAATTTTTTTCTAAAACGATCTCTTACCATCTGCCGCACCAACATTCGTTTTACAATCACTAGCTTTAGTCATGAACTTGGCAATAGCTTCCTTTTTGTCGAACTCTCCTTGAACCACAACAGCTCCAATAGCACACATAACAGCGAGGGTCATCCAGAATTTTGCCATTGTGGTATGGTTTTGCGCTACTAGAAATTAAATGAATGAATATTTCAATTTATTAAATTCAACTGATATCTACTTGAAGTTTTTTTCGGTTATTTATATGAAAATTCTTCTAAATGGTACTTCCTATTCTTTTATAAACTGCAATTCATCCATGAAATTATGGGTTACATTCTTAAAAATAACTAAATACTATTAACTAAATAAGTGTGTTTGAAGTTAATCTTGTAGTTGTCCACATTTGTTTGTTACTGCGTCATTATACCCTCAGCCATATGGCTACAGAGGGTATATACAGGGTGAGATGAAAACCTTGGACATTCCAATAGGACTCAGTACGTGCCACCCGAGAATGGTTACTATATGAGGTTCCTCGCTTTATTTCCAGCGCACAATGGCCACCAAAATCTCCGGATACCAATCCGTCTGGAGTATTTTGGAATGCAAGGTTGCCACTAAAAAATACCAAAGTGTCGACCACCTCAAGCAAGCGCTTCGCCGGGAATGGGCCAAAATACCGCAGAGCAACATTCGGGCAGAGTTTGAAGGCCATAATTCGTGCCAAAGGTGACCAATTGGAACAAATCTAAACTTATTCTAAAATTTGATGCTATTTCCGACATTTTTTGTTTTCACTTAATAAAATTAAAAAAAAATGTAAAGATTATGGCATATGACTTTGTTGATGTTTTTTTCTACCCTGTAAATCAGTTGTTACGGCCAAACTTGGATCAAGTTCGGAGATGGACAATATCGGTCAACTCCTTCTGGTACCTCCCCCACAAAAAGTTCGAAATTTTCAAAAAAAAAAAAAAAATTTACCTCACAAAAAGAGAAGGAATAATCCGATTTTGCTCCAACTTTGCAAATCCTAAAATTTGCATCAGTGCTAGGTCATGTGCGAAAATGGACAATATCGGTTCGTTCCATCAAGTACCAAGTATCATAACTTAAGGCTGAGGGTATATCTGTCGGAAAAACCAACTGATACTATTTTACTTGTTATACCCTACACCACAAGGTGGTCATTTGTGCATTTGTTTGTAACAGGCAAAAGAAAACGAGATAGACCCATAGTTCCTTTTGATGATATGAGTCGATTTATGCATGTCCGTCCGTCTGTGTACGTTTTTTTGTAAACAAAGTATCTATATCTATAAAAGAGGAAAATGTTTGTATGTTTGTTTGTTTGTAATTTATGGACTCGAAAACCGCTGAATAGATTTTCCTGAAAATTTCCATATATACTGCAACATCGCCTGAAAGTAACATAGGCTATATACATTTTTGAATTTCCACTTGGAACTGGAGATAAAACACGAAATTAACATCTGATTTCATTTCCACTTGGTACATCTGAATATTTCCATCAACACAAGATCTGTTGTAAAGTTGGTAGAGATCGGACCATTTCATTTGGTACCTCGCCCACATAAGGCTCACGATTCTTAAAAATCAAAACGCTCAAAGAAAGCGAAATAAGCATCCAGCTTTTTGTTGACAGCAGATCTGTCTTCCGAAACAAATATATCGGAGGTACCTCCCAAAAATTTAGATGTTATATGCACATATCTATTGATTGGTTGAAGATACGGTCTCCAAATTTGGAATACGTAACGGAATTTGGAACAAAAATAAGTTTGCAAAATTATATTGTAATCGGTTCAGATTTGGATATAGCTCCCATACATATTTTCGACCGATTTTGTTCATTTGATGCCTCAAACGCAATATGAATGTTCGATTCCAATAAAATTTGGAATGTGTGACGGGATTTAATCCAAAAATAAATTTGTCAAATTATATTGAAATCGGTTCAGATTTGGATATAGCTCCCATATACATTTTCGGCCGATTTCATGTATTTGGTGGACCAAACACGATATGTATTTCCAATTATAATGAAATTTAAAATAAGTAACGGAATTGGGAGCCAAAATGAATTTGTCAAATTAAATTGAAATCGGTTCAGATTTGGATATAGCTCCCATATATATTTTCGACCGATTTCATGTATTTGATGCACCAAACACGCTATGTATCTCTAATTTAAATGAAATTTGGAATGTGTAGCGGAAATTAAAACAAATATACATTTGTCAAATTATATTAAAATCGGTTCAGATTTGGATATAGCTCTTATATATATTTTTGACCGATTTAATGTATTTTAAGCACCATACACGATATGTATGTTCGATTCCAAAGAAATATGGAATATGTAACGGGATTTTGATTAGAAAATAAATTAGTCAAATTATATTAAAATCGGTTCAGATTTGGATATAGCTCCCATATATATTTTCCACCGATTTCACATATTTGATGCACAAAACACGATACGTATTTCCGACTCCAATGAAATTCGGCAATAAATTTGACAAATTATATTCAAATACACTCAGATTTGATTATAGCTGCCATATATATTCTCGACCGATTTCACATATTTGATGCACCCAAAGCGAGAGAGACGAAATCTGGCATCAGAAAAAATTGCCAAATTATATTGAAATCAGTTGAGGTTTGGGTATAGCTAACATACATATTTCGGCCGATTTCATACATGTTATGCCCCAAACGTGATATATATGACCGATACCAATGAAATTCAGATTGTGTGGCGGAATTTGGTTACAATAAATAAAAAAAAATAAATGCGACAAATTAATTGGAAATTAGTTAAGATTTGGATATAGCTCCCATATATATATTATCGGCCGATTTCACATATTTGACGCACCAATTTCAATGAAATATGGAAGGTGTGGCGGAATTTGGTGTAAAAGTATTTTTTTTAAATTATATTTAAATCGGATCAGATTGGGATATGATTTTAATAAGAACCATTAAAAATTAGATATAGCTCCCATATATATCTTCGTCCGGTTTGCCTTCAATTGTGCACCAAACGTGTAATATTAGTCCGAATAGTATGGAATTTTATACATACAACCAAGGCCTGAAAATAAGTATGCCAAATTTGATAGAAATATATCAAATACTGCTCAGAAATACCTTTGTTAAATTTCATCGGGATGGGATAAGATTTGGATATAGCTCCCATATAAAACTTCGTCCGATTTACCTTTTATTGTGCACCAAACTTCTAATATTTGCCCAAATGGGATTGAAATTGACACTTACAGCCGAATTGAGTTTGGAAGTTAGTATGTCAAATTTGGTGAAGATCGGTTCAGATATAGCTATGGCTCCCACATATATTGTTCATCCGATTTGTTATATTTCTTCCCCACAGCCGTAATATGCACTCCGTAACAATGATATTCGGGGAAATATATGAAATACAGCTCAGAAATATCTTTGCACAATTTTATCGAGATCGGTTTAGATTTGGATATAGCTTCCATATATGTCTTTATCCGATTTCAAGTTAATTGTGTACCAAATGGGCAATACAAGTCCGAATATAAAAGGTGCAAATGCTTCGGCATATTTAGGCCTTTGAACCTTAAACTATAATTATAATCATAGCGTGTATGATTTAATTCTCCCATAAAAACTTTTAATTGTTATGTGGAGCTCTACTAAATTAGCAAAGTGGTGTTGGGTGTCATAGGGTATCATAAAGGCGGCCCTGCCCGACTTTAAGACTTTCTTTACTGATTTTATTTATTGTTTTTTTGACATTTGGCAGAGTACTTTTATCGATATTAAAGCATCACATGAATCTTAAAGTATGATTATACTTCCTAAATCGTTTCGATTTCCACTGTATATTCCATTGAGGATACATCAAACGTAGACGATAAGTGGATTTGTGTCGGAACGTGTTATTTTGCAAAAAATCGCAGCACAACTTAAAGGAGATACGTTGTGATATTTTACTATTTTTGCAATATTTATCATTTTGAAAAGCAAGGCAAATATCAAATTTCAAAAACCAATATCCAAATAAAAGAACGCAATAAGAAACTAATGTCGATAACTAAAAGATAACTTTTAAACGCTTATAATTAGTGAATGGTATTTAGTTTCGATAAAGATGATAACTAATAATTTTACGCATGAATTACTTTTATTAAGGTATCTGAAACAATCTTTGGAGGGCCAATTTCATATAAATAACGAAAATATTTGGAGTTAGGTAACAGTTTAAATTTATATTAAATTCAAATTTAATTAATTTACCGTCAATATCGTATTACAATGACAAAACTCGTAGCAACACTTGCAGCCGTGTGCATTGTTGGAGCAGTTGTGGTCCAAGGAGAGTTCGACAAAAAGGAAGCTATTGCCAAATTTATGAGTAAAGCTAATGAATGTAAAACTGAAGTCGGTGCAACAGATGGTGAGTGAAAATATACTAGAAATATAGAAAAACAATCCATTTTAGACATTCCACGCATTTTACAGCCGACATGGAAGAAATGCATGAATGGAAACCATCCTCAACTATGGAGGGGAAATGTCTACGAGCATGTCTAATGAAAAAGTACCAAGTGGTTAGTAGTTTCGTTATATATTTGGAGATATTTATCTTTGAAAACATTTACTATTCCCATTTTTTTTAGATGGATGATTCGGGTAAATTTGTTGCCGATGTTGCCATGAAACATGCCGAAAAAGCAACTGATGGTGCAGCTGATAAAATGAAATTGGCCGCAGAGATCGTCAACGCTTGCGCTGGAATCGAAGTCTCATCGGAACTTTGCCAAGCAGCTGAAGATTATGACAAATGTTTCATACAACAGGCTAAGGATCATGGCATCGATGAAAATTATTTATTCTAATTGTTGCTACGATAAAGTACCATTTATTCCATGAATTTCTGGAAATAAAGAAAAAAATAAATTTGTATAAGTATTTTGTGACACTTTAAAATTTTGGTAGTTTTTATTTCTATTGTCATTTAGTCATTAATCTATATGAAATTGGGATTTTTCCGCATTATATTTTAGCTAGCCATATCCAGAATTAAGATATTGTATGTCATAAATTGTATTATTTTATTTATTTTAATATGGATTAAATGGATTTTTTTTTTGAAAAGAGGTTTGAAAACAGATAAAAAAGTTGTAAGATTGGACGGGCCGATCTTTGAATACCTATTATGGTCTATATGACGACATGGACCTGCATAGGTAACTTTTGTCATAAACCATTAAAATGCGAAACTTGAATAAACAAGTTGAAAAGTAGTAAGTTCGGCCGGGCCGAACTTTTAATACCCTCCACCATTTGCAACGAATTTGGAAATTTTCAAAAAATAAAATCCTTAAAAAATTCTGTTAAAATTTTTAAAATACCGAATATAGCCGTTATATTGGTGTCTATACGACGTGGACATACATAGGCATTGTTTGTCATAAGCCATTGCCATATTCAAATTCGAAACATGAAATAAACGGTGAATAATGTAGCTAAAACAATCAAAATATCGTATATAAGGAGGTGCCGTTAAATTGGAGCTGTGCGAAGACCTGGACCAGCATAGACAATTTTCTGTCACAGGCTGTAGCATCCATTACGAACTTCAAATACCACATCTCAAACAATTTCGGTGGGTATTGTACCTAAAATCGTCAAAATACCGAATATAAGGAGGTACTGATATATGGAGCCTATACGAAGACCTGGACCCGCACAGACAACTTTCTGTCTTAGGGTGTAGTATCCATTTTGAACTTCAAGTACCAAATTTGAAACAATTCCCGTGAATAATGTCGTTAAAATCGTCAAAATACCGAATATCGGGAGGTAATGTTATATGGGGGCTATACGAAGACATGGACTTGCACAGACAATTTTCTATCTTAGGGTGTAGCATCCATTTGGAACTTCATACACCAAATTTGAAACAATTCCGGTGAATAATGTCGCTGAAATCATCAAAATACCGAATATCGGGAAGTATCGTTATATGGGGGCTATATGAACACGTGGACCTGCACAGACAGTTTTCTGTCATAGGCTGCAGTAGCCATTACGAACATCAAACACTAAATTTGAAACAATTCCGGTGAATAATGACGCTAAAATCATCAAAGTACCGAGTATCGGGAGGTACCGTTATATGGGGGCTATATGAAGAGGTGGACTTGGACAGACAATTTTTTGTCCTAGGCTGTGGTAGCCATTACGAACTTCAAATACCAAATTTGAAACATTTCCGGCGAATAGTGTCGCTTAAATTACCGAAATGCCGAATATCGGAAGCTACCATTATGTGGGGGCTATACCAAAACGTGGACGTAAATGACCCATTTTCAATACCAAAAGTCCTGCAGACATAATACACATTTGAGTAAAATTTTATAAACCTACTTCATTTCGTTCGGAATCTAGAGTGATTTCCACAGACGGATAGACGGACAAAGAATTTTATGTTGATCAAGAATATATATATATATACTTTGTGGGGTCTAAAATGTATATTTCGAGGTGTTAAAAACGGAATGACAAACTTAATATACAGGGTGAAATGAAAAAACTGCAACCAACTTCAGACTGCTGACACTTCCAAGCCACAGCTGTTAAAATTATTCCAGTGACAGGTTCGCTCCGTTGTCTAGCAGTTTGTAAACAAATAAAATTATCGTGTTTACTTGCCAAAGAGGTGAGTTGAAAATGTGCACCTTCGGTTGGCCACCAAAACTTAAGCGACGGCCATTCGCTCTCATCTCGTATTAATCGACCGTGGCATCAGAATAAATACCGAATACCAATCCGTTGGGTTTCTGTGTCTGGAGTATTTTGGAATGCAAGGTTGGCACTAAAAATACCAAAATGTCGATCATCTCAAGCAAGTGCTTCGCTGGGAATGGGCCAAAAATACCGCAGAGTAACATTCGGGCAGGGTGTGCCAAATTCGTGCCAAAGGTGATCAATTCGAACAAATCTAAACTTATTCTAAAATTTGATGCTATTTCCGACAATTTTTGCTTTCATTCAATAAAATGAAAAAAAATGTAAAAATTATGGCGTTTGATTTTGTTGCAGTTTTTTTATCTCACCCTGTATATATAATAAAAACAATGTAGCCGAATAGATTATACTACAGTTCGATGTTTTGATTTGTATTAAATCATGTATGTGTGTGGACGCCAATCGTTTCATGGATACACAAAAAAAGTTCATGTCTCGTAAAGTGAAAATTTTTAGAATACCACGTCCTCCAGACCGCCTAAATTGTTATATTTGAGGAAGTTTGTATGTTCATTTTCGTAAGGTCTATCGTTGTTGGCTGCATGATTAGAATGCAACAAAATTGTAAATTCCAGAAAAATTTTTATTCCGAATTAAATTTGAATCTCAGCACAAGTTTTCGATTCAATTCGTTTTTGATGACGAATTCTGATGCCGTCGATATCGGTGTGTTACAGTTAAAAGTATTAATATTTTTTGAAGGAAAGCGATTGGAATTCGTAAAAACAATTGTCCAAAGAAAATATGTTTTTCATTTCAAAGTCTCACAGAACGAGAATGCTGCTAATGGTCTCCCGTACGACATCACCCCCTGTTTGCAACGGTAGTTAAGGAAAACAAGTGAAAAAGTAACAGTCGGTTTTGTCCACAGATACATACCCTCAGTTTATATCAGATAATAAAATAAATTTTGACTTGATCAACGAAGGAGTGGGCCAATATTTTCTATTTCCCATATGACGTAAGGCTGGAAATACATAAAGCGCATATTTGGCTGGCTTAAGTCATCGGCTGGCTTCTTCGTAGATGAACAAAGGAGTTTTAGGTTGGCTTAGTTCGATTTTGGCCCTAGGCTCCTTTGTTCATTTCCGAAGAAGCCAGCCGATGACTTAAGTCTTTATGTATTTCCAGCTTAAGTCTGATATAATTATTGCGACGTGCCAGTTTTGGACTATATCGACTACTTCTTTCCCTATATTTGAGATAGTTGTGCATATTTTTTGGACATGTTGAACTTTTGTGAGGGAGGAAGGAGAAAGAGTGGATTATTAAAACAGATACGACTAATAGTGATAAAAATGTTGAGATTGTGGAGTGCGCCTCCTAAAGAGTTAACCATTAAAATAAATGGCAACATTGATAAGAAGAGTATTGACAACCGTTTTTAGGAAACAGCTGAGTATTCCAGTTGCCTAAGTGTCAACAAGGGGGAAAATAAAAAGAAAAAATGAAAGCATGAAAATGGCAACCAGAATTTCTTGCCAAAAATTGACATGAAAATCTTTCCTTTTTACTTTACCTGCGAAGAAGATTGGATGTGTGGCTCCCAGTAACCAGCAAAGAAAAAATAAAGTTTTTGGTGATGAACTATTTTTTGAAAAGTAAATTCATATTATTGCTTTATTTTGTTGAAACATATAAACAAAAACACAAAATACAAACTTATTTAAATGAAATTGTAAGCCTTAAAACAAAAAAAACAAAATTTAAAGACGAAAGGCTACAAGTTGAAAGCTTATAACTAAAACAAATAGTTTTCATGTAAAATTAAAAATAACAAGTAAGCAAAGGCTATAGTCGTGCGGGGCCGACCATGTGATACCCTACAACACTACAATATGTTCGAAGTCCCCTTATATCCAAAACCATTTTGGAAGATTTCGTTTTTGATATAATGTCAAAGAGCCCCGCCCAGAGGTTACCCTTAGTTTTTTGGCCCGGAGAATTTGGCCAATATTTACGCACTCCATAGTTTTGTAAGTATTCAAAGCAATTTCACACGAAAGTTGTGGTCTATTTTACAGCTAAATATAATCCAATGGTCATCCAAAATGCTAGACTTCTTGCCTGTCCTTAGCTCTCTTCTATTGCGAAATTCCGTGTTGATTAGTACAACATTAGAAAAATATATATTTTTTAGTAAATTTTCACCTCTAAATGTACATCCTAAGAACAATAAGCTTTAATTCTGACCCTAACCCTACCCCCATGCAAAATTTCGTAAGGTTCGGACGATAATTGCGATATGCATATTCGCCCAATCGACGAGGCTTGTCCGCAGGCAACATTCTTTGCGTCAATTGAATTTTGAATGGGAACAAATGCAAATCAATGTGAATAATCCGTTGTAAAGTGGACCGAGCCATGCCCAACTGCTGAGAACGGCGTTTTTGGGATGTTCTTGGGGACCTCTCAACACTGGCTCGTACGGCAGTGAAATTCTCGGCCGATCGCCTTGGTCGACTTTTATATGGCCTTTTCGGATTAGAAAAAGCCTTACCAGTCGAAAATTGTTCGTATAAACGCCTAATGGTGTTCGTAGAAGGCGCACTTCTCACATTTTTTAATGTTTTAAAAGCACGTTAAGTTTTCACAATTGACTTCTTCTGTTGAATGTAAATTTCAACTATTTCAGATCGCGTGTATTGGTTCATGGTAAAAATCTGCTTGGACTGACGCTTCAAACGCGGTATGTCATTAAGCGATGTGACATCTCTGTCAAAAGTTATGGCGTTGCCAGATGGGTACGTCGAATATGGACAACCCTGTAATACTCTCAAAACGTAGTGTTGGGGGGTGTAAAAATTTAGAAAATTTACAATTCAAAATTGTAAGTCAAATTGAAAAAATCGCGTGCGATAAAAAATATGACAAAAATTGAAAAAAAAACCGACAAAAAATATTCATTTTTTTATTGGTATATTTTTCCGCGATTTTCATAGAATTTATCGTTTTCTGGCAAGAGACCATTCAGAATTGATGGCAATTGTGAAAATCGGCTCTTGATTTATATGCATAATAAATAAGATCAATTCTTTTACATATATACTAGCTGGCCCAGTCCGCGTTGCCGGCCTGTAGTTTTAGTCTTTAATGCATAGTTTTTAAAGCATAAGAATTCACAAATCTGGCTCACATGAGTGGCACAATTTTTAGTATAAATGATGACTCGATTAAATAGAAATAAATACGTCTTTCAAAAACCTGATCCTATTTTTCAGTAAGAGGTTTTAGTTTGAGAGTTAAACACCAAAATAATATAGCATATACATTAAAAAGTATACATTAACTGTTTATAATAGGCCCACGTAAGATGGTTCTCTACCCCCAAAGTAGCCTAAACACACATTTTAAGTCAAATCGACTCGAAAATTTAATCAAAACCTCGAAATAGGTAAAATCAGGAGGTACTTTTATATGAGCGCTACTCAGAAACATTGACATTGAAAAATTTCCGCGAAGAGGTTTTCTACCAGAAGCTAGATGTCAAATAAGGGCAAAATCAATTGAAAAATGTGACCAAGACCCTGGTAATAGCTAAGAGTTATAATGAAGCATGGTCCTATATATATTTTTTTAAAATCTCAAATTACCAACATTTGAGAAATTTTAAAGGGGCTATATCACAATGTAGACCAACCTGATACATATTTTGTACAAATGATTCCTCATGTAACCCGTAGGACTGTATCAAATATAAAACTTTATCGTAAACTTTGCGGAGTAAGGGGCATAATATTTGCGGCCCTTTGTGTATGATTAAGCTATATAAAATGGACTTTAAAATATTAGATCCGGGAACCCATCTATTGGGATTTTTATTTACCAACCAAACAATTTCCTAACCTCAAGATTGTCTGCGGCGCAGTATAATTACGGACGATAGCGCGTAGTGCCCGTATAACGTTTCTATGGTTTTAGGTTACTTTTAAGGGTTCGGAAGAATTTTCCAAGCATATGAATCCTTTTCATACTATATTTTCAATTCACTCCACTATTTTGTATAGTCCGCAATAACGGACGTTGAACAGAGCTCTTTTCAAGGTTAGGTAAACAGGCTTTTATTTCGTTCGTTGATTTTATGTGGTATCGACATTCATCTTTTGTTTGTCCTTTCCTGAAATTGAAAAAAAAAAAATAATTCATATAGATTGAACGTGGAATATAATTGAAAAAGCTTAACTCTATCTATTCGACATACATACCCGTTGGGAAGAACCTCCTAATTTTTGTCGTCCGCCAGCGTAAAATAAAATAATAAAAAGGAAAGATTACATTTTTATGTAATTATTGGCAAACTAAATTTATTCAGTTTTTGTGTGTTTTGGCGCGCTAAACGCCTGCACACCGGCAACGCCACTTAATGATCAACACAGCGATTTTTCATTAATTTTTTCTTGGAACACGGTTGTTACAAAATGTGCAATAATTACTTTTTTCCAGCTTTGTGGGATTAATTGGTAATTAACATTTCTTCTATTTGTGGGGGAGAAGAAGTGGACAGACATATTCCATATTTAATGTAGTCCATGTAGAATTATTATTATTTTACCCTTTGTGGGGGAGGTACGTGAAAGAATGGGCAGATAAGTTCCAAATTCAAACTAGAACTAATTTCGATGAAGGTATTGCATTGTGCAAAATTTAAAAAAAAAACATCAAATAATTATTTTTAATTTTATGATACTTGACTTATTTAATATTTTGACCCTTTGTGGGGGAGGTATCAAAAGAAGATCTCGAGTTTAGTCAAACATTGAAATATACGTGATATAACTATTGGGGTGTACCGAGTTGGAATGGTATCAGATGTTCATTTCCGTCTGGTAAACTTCATGGTTATTCAACATTCTGACACGTTGTGGAGGAGTTATTAGAAGGAGTGGGCCAATATCCATACCATATGCTCATCGGATCTTGTGTTAGTAGAAATATTAGAATGTATGAAATTTGGAATGAATTACCTCATTATTTCCCATTTTATGAGAGATATTATTATTCAGAATTTGTACCCGTTGTGGGGGAGGTATCAGAAGTTTTGGTCCGAGATAGTACGTCTTCACACCAGAGCTTATGTTAGTGGGGAAGTGTGAAATTTGAAGACAATCGGACTCTTATTCCACATTTGAAATGACTTATAATTAATAGACAATTTGTGAATGAGGTACTTGATGGAGTAAATTATTTCTATGAAAATGTTATCCTTTTGTGGAGGAGGAATGTACCGATAATGCCCATCTCCGAACTCGTTTGACAATAATATTACAATGTACCATGTTTTGGATCAAATCGGATAGTCCCTTCCCACCAGCCAAACAGACAGACGGACGGACATCCTTACATCTACTCCAAATGTCCTGACACGGATTTGGTCGAAAGAGACCTAGGGTCCAAAACCGTTATTTCGATGAGGTATGTTTTGGTCGTATCAAATGATATATACATTTGCCATATGCTAGCCAAATGCTACAATTTTAATAGGTACCGATAAAAAACCGTAACATTTTTTCCCACCTGACAGGGTAGTAAAACCAAATACAAATGTCCAAAGCGGTCACTTTTTTGGTTATTTTGAACATCATGCTCCATTATGTCACAGATGAATAACTCTTAATTACACATGGCATCGAAACTAAAATGTAAGTTAGCTATTGCCATAAATAAGTGGGAAAATTCGAAATTGAATACAGTTGGATATCAGAATCCAAATATTTAACACCTTGCTTTGTATTTACTTTACTCCAAATAATAAAAGACAACAAGTAACCACAATGGCAAAGTTTTTGGTGCTATTGGCAGTTGTGTGTATTGTCGGAGCCGTTGCAGTACGTGGTGAATTCGACAAGAAGGAAGCCCAAGCCAAGCTTAAGGCTAGAGCCGGAGAGTGTAAAACTGAAGTTGGTGCTACCGAGGGTAAGTTAAACGTTTAAAAATGTGAAATGTTTTAAATTTTGACTATTTTTTAAGAACTCTGATTGCAAATTGATTTCAGTTGACAATTTTTAAGGAATTTATCAATATTTATAATAAAAAGATTCAGTTGGTGTATGACTTTTTGGGCGGACATAACATAAAAATGGGATCTACATATCCCATTTTAACACTAGTTCTAATGTTAGTACAAATATTGCAATGTGCGTAATTTGCGGGATAATTTTCGAATTTTATGATAGATATGATTATTAAAAATTGTATATTATTGTGGGAGGAGGTGCCAGTAGTAGTGGATCCATATGACCTATCTGCGAACTCGATTTCAGTTTGATAAAAATATTAAGCTGTAGCAAGTTAAGAGAAATCGGATGCTCCCTTCCAGCCACGGATACACATCGCCATATCGACCCCACATCTCATGAAATGAATTTTGTTTAAAATTTCGAGGAGACACATTTTGTCCGTATTTAATGATATATACCCCCCTGAGGATATAAAAAGTACACATCAATTTCAAACAAGTTAAAAAGCAGTAAGTTCGTCCGGGCCGAACTTTGAATTCCCTCCACCATTTGGAACGAATTTGGAAATTTTCAAAAAATAAAGTCCTTAAAAAATTCTGTTAAAATTTTAAAAATACCGAATATATATGTCATAAGCCATTACCATATTGAAATTCGAAACTTGAAATAGATGGTGAATAATGTAGCTAAAATCATCAAAATATCGTATATAGGGAGGTTCCGTTATATTGGAGCTGTGCGAAGACCTGAACCAGCATAGACAATTTTCTGTCACAGGCTATAGCATCCATTACGAACGTCAAATACGAAATCTAAAGAAATTTCGGTGGGTATTGTACCTACCGAATATAGGGAGGTACTGATATATGGGGCGTATACGAAGACTTGTACCCGCATAGACAATTTTCTGTCACAGACTGTAGTATCCATTACGAATCTCAAATACCAATTTTGAAACAATTCCGGTGAATAATGTCGCTAAAATCATCAAAATACCGAATATCGGGAGGTACCGTTATATGGGGGCTATACGAAGAGGTGGACCTGTCCAGATAATTTTCTGTCATAGGCTGTAGTATTCATTTCGAACTTCAAATACCAAAGTTGAAACAAGTCCGGTGAATAATGTCGCTAAAATCATCAAAATACCGAATATCGGGAGGTACTTATATATGGGGGCTATATGAAAACGTGGACATACATGGCCCATTTACGAACTTAACCTGCCTACTGGAAAAATAAACACGTGTGCAAAATTTTAGCCATCTATCTCAATTTATTCGAAAGATAGCGTGATTACAACAGACAGACAGACGGACATCGCTAAATCGACTTAGAATTTTACGCTGATCAAGAATATATATACTTTGTTGGGTCTGACATGAGTATTTCGAGGAGTTACAAACGGAATGACAAAGTTAATATACCCTCCATAGTATGGTAGAGGGTATAAAAGCTAATTTAAATTTTATGGACCTAGTTAAGTAGAAGTTCTATTTTTCGGTTGTAATTGTATACAGTTAGATTAACTGCAACCAAAATATAACCCATTTCATTTTATTACAGCCGATATTAAGGAATTGATGGAAATGAAACCCGCATCAACAAAGGAAGGAAAATGTTTGCGTGCATGTCTCATGCAAAAATACGAAGTGGTAAGTAGTACGTGTTTAAATTGACTAAAGGTCTATGTTCAATTGTCCTTGCCCCTCTCTTAGATGGATGCTTCGGGAAAATTTGTCACATCAGTTGCTCTAAAGCATGCCGAAAAAGCTACCAATGGTTCCGCGGATAAAATGAAACTAGCTCTGGAAATTATCAATGCCTGTGCCAGCACTCAAGTGTCGTCGGACCTTTGTCAAGCAGCTGAAGATTATGGAAAGTGTTTCAAACAACAAGCTACTGCCCATGGAATCGATGACAACTACCAATTCTAAATTTTAATGATTGACCATTACAAATGTTTTGAACGGATTAAGCATTGACTGTTTTGCAAATTTAAAATTAAAATATAATTATAGAAATCAAATCGAAAATTACTATCTAATAGTATATTTGTTGTTACTTCAATAGAGATAAGGAGAGAGAGAGATTCTTTCAAATACCGGTTTTTGCATAACAATGTGCAACCCAAAAAAAAGCAGGAAAAATCCAGCAATGATGAAAGTAGAGCTTAAAACATATGACATTGGCGTTTTTAAAGTACACATCGCGAAGTTACCCATATAGAGAGGGCAAGTTCCTCCCCCTTCTTTTGAAATCTCAAGCGAGTCACCAATAGCGTTTTGATCGTTTTTTCGAAATATTGTTAAAAACTTCGATTAATAGGGATGGGCAGCAGGTACAAATTTATTTGTCATCAATTTCTAGAATACACCACAAGTCTAAATCTTACCTAAACGCCAGGAATTTACATAAATTATAAACCCATTTCAGGGTCAAAGCCGTACCTTTTGTGAGCTTATGCAAAATTCTCCTACAAAGCGTCATTTTAGAAGGGTGAATTATTCGTTATCAAATTTCACTATAAGTTACCAAGGAAAATAAATTTCTATTTCAATTTTATCTCAAGGAAATATTTCCTTCAAAAAAAATCGAAAATATTTCCCAATTTTTTGATCCATTAACCCGGGGTCATCGAATTGACATGAAATTTCGTTTCTGACATATAATTTTGTTCATAAACAAAGGGGTCCCAATAGTTTGAGATTTATTTGGCATCACATCACTTGGTTTAATTTCCGAGATAATCTTTCAAATGTCCACTACACGTGTGTTCTATTTTTAGCTCTGCTTTCATAATCTACTGGATTTTCCCTGTAATTATTTTTTGTGTTGCACACGTTTCATTTATTTTTATTCCCTCCGCCTTGTAAAGGAAGGCATATTAATTTTGTTATTCCGTTTGTAACACGTCGTAATTGTGGTTCGTAATGGATTTCAACTCCGGTGGCAGAAGATTGTATATGTTCGTCCACGTTTTCCTACAGCGCACATATAAAAATACATTCGGGCACGATTGACGTTTTAAAATTTTGGTATCTGTAGTTCATAATGCATCTTAAAACTGGGGTAAAAACATGGGCCATTATGGACAGCTGTTTCCATATAACGGCCCCACCGATATCCGTATTTTTATAATTCTAGTCATATTTATCCACGGAAATTTGGTATTTATGACTCGTAACGGATAAAAATCTTTGTAGTGTAAAATTGCCGTTTTGGTATGGTCCCCATAAAACCCACTTTATTGTTTTTAGAAAACATTACCGCATTCCCTAACCGATCTTACTGGTATTTACAGTTTAAAGTGGATTCCGTTAGAACCCAGATATATTTATATTAAAAATTCTTCTTTAGCTAATGTTGGAGGGCATTTAAAGTTCGGCCTGGCCGAATTTATGTTTTTTGCTTCTTTTATATATTTTGTATTATATATATTTTTTTTTAACTTGCTAAGCATATTGTATTTTCTTTTAATTGGCCTGAATGCTTTGTCAATATGTCACAGTATAAATACACTAGAGCCCCGACTTGCGTCGTTAATGGGGACCGGAGAATCGCGACGCAACTAAAAATGACAGAAAAGTTGTTAAATCAGGCACTGCAAATGCAAAAAATTGTAATCCACAATGTAGCTCGGACCGACACAACTTGAAATTTCAACGACGCAAATCGAATTTTCTGGTTTTTGAAAAGCGACGCAACTCGAAACGACGCAAATCGGGACGACGCAAGTCGGGGTTCTAGTGTATATGAATAAATATAATCTTCTATATCTATAAAAAGGGAAATTGTGTGCTTGTTTGTAATTTATAGACTCCAAAAATATGTGCGCTATAGGAAAACGTAGAACTAAATATTCAATGTTCTGTCACTGGGCTAGAACCCATTATGAACTCAAAATACCAATTGTTATCAAAATATCGAATATCGGGAGGTACCGTTATATGGCGGCAATACCAAAACGTGGACCTATACATATAATGTTTCGCCACACGAGCTTCAACCAATTATGACCTACAAAAACCAATTTTTGGACAAACCCTGGAAAAATGTGGCAAAAATCAACGAAATACTGAATATCGAAAGATACCGTTATATGTGGGCTATACCAAAACGTGGGCCGATATATCTCATTTTCAATACCATTTTCAACCATTGTCGGCACAATACAAATTGTTATGCTGAATTTTGACGCCCTACGTCAAATAATGTGGGCTGTATCGTGATTTCAACAGAGAGACAGACGACATCTTTAAACCGACTTAGATTTTTATGCTGATTATGAATATATATACTTTATGGGGTCTTCGGAATAACAAAGTTAATATATCCTCCTTTCCAAGGCGAAGGGTGTAACAGTAAATTTCACAAATCATATTAAAGTTGCTTCAGATCTCAATATATATTTGCGACCGATTTCATTTATTTGATACATCAAACACGATATTCATCTCCAATTTCAATGAAATATGGAAGTCGTGACGGGATTTGATCATAAAATAAATTTGTGAAATTATATTAAAATCTGTTCAGTTATGGATATTTATATCTGATGCACCCAACGCAATATGTATGTATGTATGAAATTCAGAATGTGTGGCAGAATTTGGTTACAATAATAAATTTGACAAATTAATTAGAAATCGATTAAGATTTGGATATAGCTCTCATACATATTTTCGGACGATTTCACATATTTCATGCACCAAACACGTTGTGTAATTTTGTGTAAAAGTAAATGTTGTCAAATTATATTGAAATCGGTTCAGATTGGAATATGATTTTATTAAGAAGCATTGGCCCACAACGCCTTTGCCAACTATACAAGAATTTAATTGAGGATACGATTAGGCTCTGTCTTTTGTGGCAGAAGACAGTTGGAATAGGCCCATATATCGGTACCTTCGAATTGTTGGTATTTTGGTAATTTTAGCTTATATGTATTTCTTTTTAACAATTTTTTAAATTTGGTATTTATAACTCGCAACATATTACACTGTAGCAAAAAATTAATACCACATACTTTAGGGTATTTTAAAGACTATAGATTTCACTAGCGAAAATGAAAGTGGATTCAATATCCAATCTGTATATTTTTATTTTTAAAGATTTTCTTTTCCTCATTTTGGAGGGTATTGAAAGTTCGTCCTCGTCTTGGAAAACATTTTTTTTTTCTTTTTTTAAGAATTCAATTGACAAATATCCTACCATTGTTTATATTTTAGATTTGGACAAAATCATAAAACTATAAAACTTCGAAGTCCGTTACGATAAATTCTGAATTTAACTAGCCACGAATTTAACAGAGAAAATGACATAGCTATGTTAGCGTTAACAGAGCTACATAAAAATTGTTTTTTTTTTCTTTATATTTTTGAATTTTAATTACTTATCGTATAAAAACGCTAACAAAATGCATTATATAATCATAATTAAATTATATTCCAAAGATTGTAAGGCTACATACACCCATTAACTCGTAGCACAATACCATGTGCCAGGACAAGTTTACACCAAACTGTGCCTTCCAGGACAATTCTGCCGGTACAATATGGGTACCTACGGAAAGCTTATGAAGTCTACTATTCATTGGTATTAAGAATATTATAGGAAATTCCGGCCACTTTCGAGGTATATAGTCATTTCTGGAAGTATCCTTGGAACAGGATAACTCCATTGGCCAGTATGCCTTCCAGGACAATTCTACCGGCACAATATGGGTACCTATGGAAAGCTTATGAAATCTACTATCCACTGGCATTAAAATTTATAGGAAGTTTCGGCCAATCACGATATGGTGACATAACTTATTATTCTACTACCAACGCCATCTATTGAATCAAAGCAACAATGATGGGAGATTTTATTGTATAATATATCTTTGATTTGAGTGACTTCAGTATTTCCACTAATACCCCTGAAACGACCTAGGCGAATTGTTCGATGATAAGCGGTAAAATCGTTTCTTCGTCTGTTCATTCATTAGTCTATCTTCGTACGAAATATGTGAGGGCGATAAAGAAGACCTAGGACATAAACATATTCATAATTTCGGTAATTTACGAAGCTTTTCGGCTAGTTAATGACCTAAATAAAGTAGTCGCTAAGTCCTACCCATAGCCACAATGCTGACAATGACATTCCGACATTTCATTCATAATGTTACGTTTTAATGTTAACGAGATTTGTCGGAAGCTCAAAAAATAGGTTAGAGAATCCCCCGCAGATGTCCTTAGCATTAATTTATTAACTTGAAAAAAAATAATATCGTCATGTTTAATTCAAATAATATCAAAAAAAAAAAAAAAAACCAGTAAAGAAAGCCTTAAAGTCGGGCGGGGCCGACTTTATGATACCCTACACCACTTTGCTAATTTAGTAGAGCTCCACATAACAAATTAAAGTTTTTATGGGAGAATTCAAACATACACGCTATGATTATAATTATAATTTAAAGTTCAAAGGACTAAATATACCGAAGCATTTGTATCTTTTAAATTCGGAATTGTATTGCCCATTTGGTGCACAATTAATTTGAAATCGGATAAAGATATATATGGGAGCTATATCCAAATCTGAACCGATCTCGATAAAATTTGGCAAAGATATTTCTGAGCTATATTTGATATATTTCCCTGAATATCGTTGTTATGGAGTGCATACAACGGCTGTGGGTAACAAATATGACAAATCGGATGAACTATATATATGGGAGCTATAGCTACATCTGAACCGATCTTTACCAAATTTGACATACTACCTTCTAGACCCGATTCGGTCGTAAGTGCCAAATTCCATTCCATTTGGACAAATATTAGACATTTGGTGCACAATAAAAGGTAAATCGGACGAAGTTATATATGGGAGCTATATCCAAATCTGAACCGATCTCGATAAAATTTAGCAAGTGTATTTCTGAGCTCCATTTGATATATTTCCCCATATATTGTTATTGCAGAGTGCATATTACGGCGGCGGTGGAAAAAAATAACAAATCGGATGAACAATATATATGGGAGCTATAGCTATATCTGAACCGATTTCAATCAAATTTGGCATACATATTTTCAGACCTAATTTGGGTGTATATGCAAAATTTCATACAATTCGGGCTGATATTACACGTTTGGTGCACAATAAAAGGCAAATCGGACGAAGATATATATGGGAGCTATATCTAAATTTTGACCGATTATTTCCAATTTCAATAGGGTTCGTCCTTGGGCCAAACAAATGATCTGTGCAAAATTTCATCTGGATCGGGCAATAAATGCGACCTGTACTTTGTTTACAAAAATACATGGACAGATAAATGGACAGAGGGACGGACATGCATAAATCGACTCAGAATGTGATTCTATGCAGATCATCAAAAGGAACTATGGGTCTATCTCGTTTCCTTCTGCCTGTTACAAACAAATGCACAAAGACATAATACCCTGACCACCTTGTGGTGTAGGGTATAAAAAACAGTGGAAGAGTAAATGGAATTTACAGCTTTATAATGGAGTAATGCGAAAACGGCTCCAGTGTGGGACCACTATTAGAAAACATCACCCTTGAAAACTTAAACAAACTTCGTATGCATTATTTGTTATATATTTAGATAATTAATTACTTTAAAAGAACAGAAAAAAATATCGGCATTTCACAATTAGCCAAAATTAATATTCATAACTTTCATCGATTCCATGAGCGTTAGCTTGTTGTTTGAAACATTTGCCATAATCTTCAGCCGCTTGACAATGATCCGATGAGACTTCAATGCCGGCACAAGCGTTGATAATTTCCGTAGCTACCTTCATTTTATCAGCAGCGCCATTGGTAACTTTTTCGGCATGTTTTAGAGCAACGTCCGAAACAAATTTGCCAGAATCATTCATCTGAAGAAAAGTGCACAAGTGAATTAACACACACAGACATTGATAGATAAAAGGTCATGCTGCTAACGAATTTACTCACAACTTCGAACTTCTTCATTAGACAGGCACGCAAACATTTTCCTTCCATAGTTGAAGCTGGCTTCTTACCAACAAGTTCCTCAATATCGGCTGCAAGAAAATTTATTTCAAAATTAATTATTCATTTTTTTTTTCGACAAAGGTCAGAAACTTTTCTTTTTAGAAACTCCTACAGTAAGAAACTTTCCTGCCTTTCCTCCAGGTAAACAGTGCAATAAATAAACTCCACTAATAAATAAACTTTGTTTTTTATAAAAAATAATATTTTGTGTCAACAAATTAATTTTTATCATTAATTTTGATTGAAATACACCCAACATTCTGATTTGCCTAGACAAATTAGACACTCTTCTAAGTGAGAGGACGTTCATGGCCTGAAAATCCAGCAATATAACTTACTATCAGTAGCCCCAACTTCCGTTTTACATTCAGCGGCTTTAGTTTTGAGCTTTTCACGAGCTGCCGTTTTATCGAATTCTCCACGAACAACTGCAGCCGCAACAATGCACATAACAGCCAGTACTACCAACAATTTAGCCATTGCTATATGAATTGTCTTGTTTTGAACTGCAAACAGTTATAAAGTTGATGTTCAATGTTTGAATTTCGAATTCCAACTGTAATTTAATTTCGATTTTCCCAGATATTTATGCAGAAAAATAAACTAATATTTTCATTCCCCAATTCAAATTTATTCAACTGTGAAATTATGGGTTATGATCGAAACTGAAACAAAAAATAATATAAAATGATGAAGTACCGAAAGTGACCTTGAAGTTTTCAATGTTAAGTGGTTTTATTTACGTCATCTGAGAGTTGGAAATTGATATTTCCTATTGGATTGGATGTCAATGTTTAGCAAACATAATGGTTTTTTTTTCAAATCCTTGTAATAAGATCAAATAAAATATTTTGTTTCAATCAAAAATTAATAAAATATATTTGAAAAAAATAATATTTAATTTCCATAATAAACTATTTGGAATATTTAACCTTCCTTCATTCTCTAACAGGATTAACTGTAATTAGCTCTTCCCCAGGGGACACATATGCTGAATAAGACCTGTAGGAATATGGGATTGATAAGGTTGAATGGTTAACTGGCATGGTTAACGTTGTAGGAAGTCACCTGGTATGGACCAAGGTCTATGAACTGGTCATATTGCAGACGAATTAATGAAAATATTATCGTCTTGAATGTCGAAACTCTTCCGACGCAGTGTATAGAATATTTCTTATCGAAATTCAAAAAAAAAAAAAAAAAAAAAAATTTTTGCTGACTCTGTTGGCTGGCACAAAATATTATTGTTTCGCAGTGCATTTTTCGGTTGTAAGGAATCGAATTAAAATATATATGAAATTTATAGTTATATCTGAACCGATTTTAACCAGATTTGACACTCTTTCTTTCAGGCTGATGTGCCAAAATCTATTTAATTTGGGCTGATATTAAAAATTTGGTGCAAAGCTTATATATCTAGCTATATCCAAATCTAAGGCGATCTCTGTGAAATTTGACAAAGGTATTGCTGAGCTTTATTTGATCTCTTTTACCGAAAATTGTTGTTATGGAGTTCATGAATATATATGGCAGCTATCTGAACCGATTTTCACCAAAATTCAAATTTCAAATTTGACACACTTGATTCTCGGCTCATATGGTCGCATGTGCCAAATTTCATCCTATTTCAATAGGGTCCGTCATTGGGCCAAACAATTGATTTGTGCAAAATTTCATCTTGATCGGCTCATAAATGCGACCTGTACTTTGTTCAAAAAAAAAAAAAAAAAAAAAAAACTGTAAGTTCGGCCGGGCTGCACTTTGAATTCCCTCCACCATCTGGAACTTGCATGGCCAACTTTTGTCATAAGCAATATTCAAATGCGAAACATGAAAAAATCGGTAAAAAATGTAGCTAAAATCATCAAAATACCGAGTATAGGGAGGTACCATTATATGGGGGATATACCAAAACGTGGACCAGCACGGACAATTTTCTGTTTTAGGCTGTAGTATCCATTACGAACTTCAAGTACCAAATTTGAAACAGTTCCGGTAAATAATGTCGCTAAAATCATCAAAACACCGAATATCGGGAGGTACTGTTATATGAGGGCTATACGCAAACGTGGACTCGAACAGATAATTTTCTGTCACAGGCTGTAGTATCCATTACGAACTTCAAATCCCAAATTTGAAACACTTCCGGTGAATAATGTCGCTTAAATCACCAAAATACTGAAAATAGGGAGGTACCATTATATAGGGGCTATACCAAAACGTGGACCTACATGGCCCATTTTCAATACCAAAAGTTCTGCAGACATAATATACATTTGAGTAAAATTTTATCAATCTACTTCATTTCGTTCGGAAGCTAAAGTGAGTTCCAGAGACGGCTGATCAAGAACATATATACTTTGTAGGGTCTAAAATGTATATTTCAAGGTTTTACAAACGGAATGACAAACTTAATATACCCACCATACTATGGTGGAGGTTAAAAAAAACATGGACCGACAGAAAATTATTCTATGAGGATTCTCAAAAGTAACTATGGGTCTATCTCGTTTCCTTGTTTATGTTACAAACAAATGCGCAAATAATAACCCTGACCACAGTGTGGTGTAGGGTATAAAAATCAGAGCTTTAGCACTTTGTGGTCGCTTTATACGACTAAATAAGTATTTAGTACATTTTATTACTTTTCGTACACTTTTAGTACGAGTTTCCCAAGCTCTACCCTGTTCCCAAATACCAAATGTAATACCATTTAGTACTTTTTACCATATTTCAACAAGTTAAAAAGTATCACTCGGTTTAGCCGACAGATTTATACCCTCAGCCAATGTTCGATTATTAAAATATATTTTGACTTGTGTTATGATTATACAAATTGTTGACCTTCTATGCAGTAGGTTCTGCAGTAATTTTTTTATGCGAATTCTTAAATTCCATATTCATCTCAGATTTCTGGTGAAAGCGAAAATTGTACTCCAGAAGGGGTTCGCAGATATATGTCATTTTCACAAGAGATCTTTTGTTTTCAAAAATGTTTGTATGTTTAAAATAAAATCGTCCGATCTCTACCATCTTTATAATACATCTTGTGTTAATGGAAATATTGCCATGTACTGAAGTCTGAATGGAATCGGATCTTTGGTTTATAAAAATATTTGGATGTGCGACATTTTAAGACAATCGAATTCTTAGATCACATTTTATAAGGGCTATAATTATTCAAAATTTTACGCTTTGTGGGGGAGGCACTTGACCTAGAACTGATGCAAATATTCGGATTTGCAAAGTTGGAGCAAAATCGAATTATGACTTCTCTTTCTGTGCAGAAAACATTTTTTGTTTGTATTTTTTTATACCCTACACCACAAGGTGGTCAGGGTATTATGTCTTTGTGCATTTGTTTGTAACAGGCAAAAGGAAACGAGATAGACCCATAGTTCCTTTTGATGATCTGCATAGAATCACATTCTGAGTCGATTTAAACAAAGTACAGGTCGCATTTATTGCCCGATCCAGATGAAATTTTGCAAAGATATTTTGTTTGGCCCAAGGACGAACCCCATTGAAATTGGAGATAATCGGTCAAAATTTAGACATAGCTTCCATATATATCTTCCTCCGATTTTCATTTTATTGTGCACCAAACGTGTAATATCAGCCCGAATTGTATGAAATTTTGCATATACACCCAAATTAGGCCTGAAAACAAGTATGCCAAATTTGATCGAAATCGGTTCAGATATAGCTATAGCTCCCATATATATTGTTCATCCGATTTGTTATTTTTGTCCTCCGCATCCGTAATATGCACTCTGCAACAACAATATTTGGGAAATATATCAAATACATCGGTTCAGATTTGGATATAACTTCGTCCGATTTATCTTTTATTGTGCCCCAAACGTCTAATATTTGTCTAAATGTGATGGAATTTGGCACTTACGACCAAATTGAGTCTAGAAGCTTGTATGTCAAATTTGGTGAAGATCGATTCAGATATAGCTATAGCTTCCACATATATTGTTCATCCGATTTATTATATTTGTTACCCACAACCGTAATATGCACTCCGTAACAACGATATTCAGGGAAATATATCAAATGCAGCTCAGAAATATCTTTGCCAAATTTTATCGAGATCGGTTCCGATTTGGATATAGCTCCCATATATATTTTTATCCGAATTCAAATTAATTGTGCACCAAATGGGCAATACAAATCCGAATTTAAAAGATACAAATGCTTCGGCAATTTTAATTATAATTATAATCATAAAAACTTATAATTGTTATGTGGAGCTCTACTAAATTGGCAAAGTGGTGTAGGGTATCATAAAGTCGCCCCGCCCGACTTTAACAGTACGTTTATATATATGAGGGTTAACCCACTGGATTTGGATTTAAATTGTCATATCCATTACTTTTACTTCAAATAAATCCCCTCAAAGTAGGTTAACCCTACAAAAAGTTCTAACGTAAACATGGCATAAGGCTTTCTTTACTGGTTTTAATTTCGACCTTTTGTGGGGGAGGTAACAGAAGGAGTGGGCCGATGTATTCCATCTTGGTATCAGACCATGGGTTAATAAAAATATTGGGATGTGTGAAATTTGAAGACAACCGGGCTCTTATAGCAAATTTCAAAAATTTCAAAATTTTGAATAATTACAACTCTTATAGTAATTATTCAAAATTTTGACCCTTTGTGGGGAGGTACTTGATTGAGTTAACCGATATAGTCCATTTTTGCACCTGACGTAGCACTGACGCAAATACTAGGATTTGCAAAGTTGGAGTAAAATCGGATTATTCTTTCTCTTGCTGTGAAAATTTCGACTGTTTGTGGGGGAGGTACCAGAAGGAGCGGACCGGTATATTGCATCTTAACACCTTGGGTTGATAAAAATATTGAGATGTGTGAAATTTGAAGACAATCGGTCTCTTACATCACATTTTATAAGAGTTGTAATTATTCAAAATTTTCACCGTTTGTGGGGGAGGTACTTGATGGAGTGGAACGAGATTGTCCATTTTCGCACCTGACCTAGCATTGATACATATATTAGGAATGAAATCTTTTGATTCGAGTTTTTTCGATAATACATAAAAGACTTTTTTAACTGGCTTAAGTCATCGTCTGGCTTCTCCGTAAGAGAACAAAGTACAAATTATGGGGCGAAATTGAACTAAGTCTGCCTAAAGCTCCTGTGTTCTATTATAAAGAAGTCATCCTATGAATAAAGCTAGTAAAAAGCGTTATATGTACTTGCACCTTTATGCCGGATGATAACTTTGCTTGGTTGAATACTGATTTTGGCTATAGCCTACACGTGGCTAATCTGCTGTCAAAATACGTCATTGTGATTAAATTTGAAAATTATTCATAATGACAAAAAAAAATTAAAACAATTATACTTTGTTCCCTATTAAAAATTGTTTACATTCTCAACGTATTAAACTGAAACTGAACTTTGTTTTCATGGCTCCTATGACATAACTATTGAATGACTCTTCTTTTTACCTAATTTAAAATCCAAAGTTCAAAGAACGCCAAATTTCGGAGATGAATGAATTCCAATAGTAAAACAATAATTTCCAAGAAAATAATTC